GTCTGGACTTAATGAGATCAGCAGCCTTCTCGCCGATCATGTACGCAGTGCTCTGAGTGTGAGCCCCAACGAGCAGTGGAATGATGCTGGTGTCAGCGATGCTGAGGTGACTGGTGCCGTAGACCTTGAGGTTGGAGTCGACAACACCACCTAGGTGAAGGGGCATCATCGAGGCGGTACCACAGCTGTGGCCGTTGGAAGCGTTCAGGTTTTCCTCGTCCACCAGCCACTTCTTCACCTCGGAGTCAGACGCGCGGTCCTTGCCGGGGACGAGCTCGACAGGGCCGAGGGCGGACAGGGTCTTGGAGGTGGCGAAGTGGTTGCGAATGTACTGCTGCATGCGAACGTGGATCTCGAGGTCGATAGGGTTGGACAGCAGGCGGTAGTCAAATATTGGGTCTCCGAAGGGGTCCTTGGGGTTGATATTGACAGAACCACGGGAGAAGGGCTTGAGAAGGATGGAAGTTCCACGAGGAGAGCCCTGGAAAGGATGCTCGAAGATGGCGGACTTGTCCGAGAGGAAAGACTTTAGGAGAACCTTATGCTGGAGAACGTAACCGGCAATTAGGGTAGGGTCAAGATTATCTGGAAGATAGTACTTGTGTGCGGCCTGAAGACCGAGTTGAAGGCTGAGATTGGCAAAGTGGCTGCCAGTGAAGCTGCGGGCAGGGAGCAAAAGGCCACCAGAAATGGTTGGCGAGGTAAAAGGACCAGTGTTGTAGGCCTTGTACTCGGCGAGTGCTTCGGCGCGAAAAGTCGCGTTTGTATGGATGGTAGTAGGCGTCGGCCACACATCCTTCGTGAAGTTGTACGAACTGAAAGTGTGGGAGTGGTCCTGCAGGTTCCATCCGACGCCAGGGAGATCGATCAGAGACTTGATACCGGCGTCCTCTACGATCTTCTTTGGGCCAATACCAGAGAGCTGGAGGATGATAGGCGTGCGGGTAGCTGAGGCAGAGAGAATAATCTCCCTTTTGGCCTTGACGTCGAAGGTGGCGCCGTCGCCGAAACGAGGCTTGACTTGAACACCGACAGCCTTCTGGGTCTGATCCTGCTTTTCAAAGTTGACCTTGAGACCACGGTGTAGAGGTAGCAGGTGGTAGTTCTGACGAGGTTGGACGTATTGGTAGTGCCCGAGACCACTGAAGCTGCGGTTGTAGGCCCTGCTGGGGTCGTATGAAGAGGGAATCCAGATCAAGCCGTAGGCATTACCATTACCGTGCTCCTTCTGCACCACGATGCCATCGCGCTCAGACCACGCCTTCCATTCGTATTTCTGTCCCGGGTACTGGTATCCTGGCATGCTCATGTAGATGGGTGTTGTGTTGCCATAGGCCGATAGGTCAAATGTCATGCCATAATCATCCTGGATATCTTGAGGAGGGGGATTGAAAGAGTGGCTCTTCTTGTAGTATGGGAAGACGCTTTCCCAATGCCATCCTGGGTTACCCAGCAGAGACCAGTTGTCATGATCCTCTTTGCTCCCGCGGAAGAAAATTTGACCATTGACAGCAGAACCGCCGCCGACCACAGCGCCGTTGGGAACGGGGAAGACGCGGTTGTTGGCGTTAGCTTGTGGCACGCTGGTCAGATTGTAGAGAAACTCAGCGGCGGGGGTGTTGAACGGCGGCATGAAGGAGTCATCAACGGCAATGCGTCCATATTCGATGACCAGTACGGTTTCTGTTTCGGTCAGAACTACGTCGACCGACATTCGCTTGAAGACGCACTCTTGGGATCCTCCGAGAGGCGGTCAGCCACGGTCAACCCTGCTGTTCCTCCGCCAACTGATGAATGTTAGCCCAGGCATTGCAAGCGGTAGTGAGGTGAGGAACTGACCAATGATGAAGTCATACTCGGGCAGTAGGTCCTTGCCGTCGCGCTTGATGACGGCCGATCGGTAAGAAGCGGGGAAAGCCTGACCAACGGCTAAGAGTCCCCATAGACAGAGCAAGGTTCGCGGCATTGTGAGTAAACGACAAAGTAGCTCTCAATAAATGCGTACACCGGCCGTGACGATGGGGTACCACAGCCATTATCTAAACATGTTCTGACAGACTGCCAACCCCGCCTTTGCCTTGTAGCCAAGCTCAGGGCCTTTCGCCTGCCTAATCCGTCAATTCGCCAAAGCTTCCGATTGTCGGGATCGCTTCTAGCATATCGACCATAAGCACTTTCATACTATCGCACAGCTTGGTAAGATCTGCATCCGGGCGGCACAGGCCTATCAACAGAACAGTCTAGGCCGCCGACCCTTCGGTGTGACGCGGGTCGCCCTGCTACCTTGATAATCAGCCAGGGGGAATGGCGCCATTGCCACTTAACACCTGTTCTGGACGTTCTCGAAATGGAATAGCTGAATGGCCGTCAAATTCAGAAAGGAATCACCATCGAGAGACAGATAGCGCTTTTTGGAATTACGGCAAAGGAACTCGAGCATTGAAAGCAAATTATTCTCATCGCCGGAATATTTGGAAAGACACATGGCCCCTCAGTGGCAGAATAGGGAAGGGCAGCCCAAATGAAATATGATTAGGATGTTTGCTTGTTGCTAAGGGTGGATTAGCTATGTGAGATGATGCGCCCGTCTTGATTGTTTTCAGTTTGTTTTCAGTGAGAGTGTGTGTGCACACGTCTTGTGCCATATAAAGAGGAGATTGCCCACGTGGCACATCGTTCTATCTCAGAACTGGTAGTGGGAGGTATTACGGGGCATTGAGTTACAAAGTGTCAGTCTGTTGCATTGACTTATCCTGGCACGGGTTCCTTAGTATGGTCGTTCTGTTGATGCATTGGTGTGTCCTGCTGAACTGGATTCTCGAAGGCTTTTATGACTCTGGGCTGGTAACCTAACTAGGTAAACAATGGGCGAGATGTAGATTGTTCTTCGGGATGTCTGTCCTGACTCATTCACTTGGAAGACCTTATTGGGATAGATCGAATTCTTATAAAGGTGAGGACAGCCCATACCCCAATTGGTTTCCCGGGTCTGGACCGGTCGCGACTGAGATCAATCAAGTCAATCCATGCAAGCCGGCTTGGTGACTCTAGCAGCCGTTAAAGCAGGGATACGAGACGGCCCTAGAGTCTCGTAGGGACGAGGAGGGGTTTGTCACGATGGCCTCAACCATGTTAATTGGATGTCGGGGACCGACTTCGCCTCGGAGTCGGCTACAAAACCTTATTTCCAGAGATACCTCCGGCGGTGACACGTCAGCGTGCCATCCTGTCTATCGAAAACTTGACTCTACCGGGAATTCCTGTAATGAGATCGTCCTTCAAGATCCTTACAAAAGGCTTGCTCTTACTTTGACTGGTGATTGTCTTCACAGCAATGGCTTCGACAAACCATGTTTTCGAGTCACTGTTCTTGCTGTGCTAATCACGCAGAAGCAAAAGTTCATTGAAAATTGATACAGACGAAGATCTTACAGACTCGATGGAAGAAGATGCCACGACTGCACACCTCGAGTACTTCGCAGTTTAAAATGGATGATTATTCGTGTATCGTCTGGCCATTCTTTCGAAGTCAAGCGTCCCAGGGCTTTGCGTACTGAGAACAAGCTTTTTTCACAGTGGCGGCGACTTTAAACCGTCCGCTATTGATATGCCTATCCTCACAGCCCCCTAGGCTCTCTTCGTAACCTTGGCCTGGTCCGAGTAAAGTTTGATTACGCAATCGTTCTCCCACAACTGCTAAGGGCACATGAGGCATTCACTGGAATAATTTGATATTAGGCAAAATACCTGAACTCAATAATATGCGCACTGCCCGTGTTGAATGTGCATAGTAAATCTAAGTTGGTGTTCTTTCGGCTTTTGAGAATCTCATGATTAGGTCTTCAGGGGAAGCCCTAGAGGCAGCCCTGACTTGATGATGGTAGAACTACCTCGATCCGGGCACTTTCTCAACGTCTCAATTTCCGGTCATTCATGATATAAAGACTCAGTTCCCAACAGGCTGGCAGACTGGAGAGGCATTTCCAGCTCGCGAACCTCAGAAAGCCAACACTTCTCTCTTCATCTTCAAGTCGCACATATCTAACAAACGAGTCCTTCCGCAGCTGAACCATCTCATCTCTAAAATGGTCTCTCTCCGCGTGATCTCTCTCTTCCTCGCCAGCTACCTGATTGCTGGTGCTGTTGCTGATGGGGGAAGTGGCGTTTCTGGCTGTAAGTTGGATCGTCACATACACATGAGAGTCACGCTAAGCAATCACCAGCTGCTTGTTCCAAACAAACTGACTGCTGCGCTTGCGACGTTAATGCTGGGCAGCAATTGACTTGCAAGGGTAAGTTCAAGTCGATCCGATAGTTTACTGAACACCTACTTAATGATTCATCATCTTCACAGTCGCCGCAGGGCAAACCCGAGGAACCTGTCAAACTAATGGTTTCCCGTGCGCAAACTCCTGCAACTAGAGTCCTTGCCCTCGGGAGTGGTGGGCTCCAATACACTGTTTGGCCGCAGGACCTGTTATCGCGATAGCTACAGCTCCCCGTGGTGGTAGCATCACCATGCATCCTCAAAATCAAAACCATCAGATCCACTTTCTTTGGATAAACAATGATAGTCATCCAACTTTGTGTCAACTTTTGTATTAGTCAATGCTGTTTGCTATCCATTCCGCCTATATGTTTAGCAGCCGAGCTAGAGACCGGAACGCAAATTTCTGTTCTAGTGCCAGTCTAGTATTTGTTAGCGAAGATGCAACTACATCAGATTTGAAAAGATTCCGTATCTTGCCACGCTTGAATCAAATGGAAGATTGAAAGATTTTGTTGACTTTCTACATGTTTTGGCGGTGGGGAGGGAGCCCCTAACCGAACCGCGTTAGTGGTCAGTGCTGGATGCGAGTACCCCTGGACACAAAAACCCCAGCGGCCCCACGTCGTCGCATTGGAAGCTACTCCTTCCATCATCATGGGCAGAGAGACCAGCCCAATTGTGTCGAATTGCGGCGATAGATGTTCACGAAAGGTCTGGCTACTCACCGAACATGAAAACCAAACAACATACAGTCTGCGACGAATGCCGAAGACGAAAACTTGGCGTAAGGGCCCGCAAAGTATGAGGAAGACCTGACTGACCCCTCGGTTGGCAGTGCGACGGAAAGCAGCCATCCTGCTCTCAGTGTGTCTTGTCCGGCCTCGGCTGTCCAGGGTACAAGAAACACATTGTATTCCGACAACCCACGTCACCCAGTTCAGTCGCTTCAGGCCAACGAAAGAAGCGGCCACGTCAAAATAGACGCCCTAACAACACAAGTCAAAAGCCGATACCTCCGACTCGGGCTTTGACCTGGCCGCTCAGCGACGTGCTTTCACTATGCGTCCAAAACTTCGTCCCTGCCAACGAGTTGGGCTCAATGTCCAGTAACTCAGCACTTTCACAGTCTAGAATATGCGGAGCATGGGTGGAAGTTCTCCCAGGACTTATCGGAGGAGATGGAAGACATGACGGACCTTTATCCTCCGCCATCAAAGCTCTGGGGATCTCGCTGGTCGCCAGAGGCCCAAGCGGGCGAGCCCCTGTTCATGAAGCCATTGCAGCGCACTCCTCAGCACTCAAGGCTGTAGGACGGCTTATTCCACACGCCAATGATGATCCGAACAATTACGATGAGATATCCGCAGCCATCATGTGCTTATTCCTATCAGAGGTGTGCAGTCTTGGTCCCTATTTCGCTCTCTCTACTGACAGGAGAATGTCGCAGAAATTCTTTCCCACATCAAGCTCTGCAGCAACAGTGCACGCGAGGGGCATCGGGGAGCTCATTCAACTCCGCCCGCCTCAATTCTACGCATCTGGAACACCCCATAAGCTTTTTGTTGGGTTCCGACCAATTCTAGTATGGCAACACTGTGTTCATCTTCATGGCCTTATCTGTGCTAATATCTCAGATTCTCCATGCCTTTGACACCCGGAAATCGACCTTTCTCGGAGCGCCTGAATGGAAAACAGAGCCGTTTCGCGGTGTGGTTCAAGATCCCCTGCAGACTCTTTTGAGCGAGGCATGCGCCATACCTGCCATTCTTGAAATGCTTGATCGCTGCAGCGACAAGAACGGACTAGTCCCTCGCCAAGCTGTAACCCAGTTTGTGGAAGCCATCAACCGCCTGGATCGCTGGCACAAGTCAGTAAATATGACTGTGGGAGACTTTACGCCTTTACCAGAAACCTCAACGGCCGGGACCAACTTTGATTTCCCAAACATCACCGTGGCTAACTCGTTGAGTCACTACTGGGCGTTCTGGATCATTTGCGCCACTCAGATAAAGCGATTGACAGCACGGCGCCTAGATATCTCAGGGGACTGTCTCCTGATAGACGGCGAGCGCCCGGACAGCGAAGCGGTGAACCGAAAGATTATCCAACTGTCGACTTATATCCTTGCATGTACTGGATATTTGATGCGAGAGGACATGAAACTCTACGGCACAGCCTCTGCCTTCTTTCCTCTGCACATTGCGAGGAGTGCGTTGCAAATGTTTGGAGGCAGTGATGAGGCCATTTGTGAGCAGTTGAAGAAGAATGCTGAGATCATATACGAACGAGGATATGAGGATGTTTTACTGCTGCATAGAAGCACGATCATTATTAGCTGATCTTCGATTTACGATAGACCTTGCCAACCGGCCTTCGAGTATGCCCAGATGTAGTTAGATAACAAGGACTATAGGACTGATGTAATATCCAAAAATAGGCATTGACAACATGCTGATGCCTTCACTTGATAGCATCGTCTTATTCTATATCCGTGCTCTTGACCACAGTACCGAATGCGTCCGCAATCTCGGCCAAAGAAACCCTGGTCAACTCCTCCGCACTTGATCCAGGAATATTGCGGTCACCGACAGCATCTCCAGCAACGATCACGTCCCACCCCTTTTCACTAGCCTGTCGAGCTGTCGTTGAGATACAAACGTGTGCCTGTAGAGGAAGGGAAAGTTAGTCAGTCTAGTACAATCCCAACACACTCCCTTCGTTGGAATCATCTCACCATGTATCCAGTCAAAACCACCTTGTTCCTTCCAGCAGCCTTCAGCAAATCTTCCAAGTTTGTACCTGTGAAGGAGCCAGGAAAGTGCTTAGTGACCACGCTTTCCCCCTCGAGCGGCTTTAGCTCTGAAAACTCCTCAGCGAGATCGGTGCCGGGAGCAAAGATTGGCGCGCCAGCTGGGAATTCGTGGACGACATGGATGACCGGAGCCTTTGCGCCGCGATATTTCTCAAGCAAGGAGGCAATCTTTGCCCGAGATGTTTCGACATCTGAGACTGGAAGCTTTCCAATTGCGTACTCGTTTTGAGCGTCAATGATGACTAGGACGCTGTCACTCGTGGAGGCCGTGGATGGTGGCACGCCAAGCATGGAACGCATAGATACTGCAGACGTCATGGTGATTGTTGTAAGCCGAAACTTCGAGAAGCAATGTGAGCAGAAAATAAGAGAAATTGTGTGGCAGTTCGCCTGGATCATTGCTGGCTCCTGGGTCATATTCATAGAGAAACCAGCCGGGATCTCGGTCTGTGATGGTGGGCATGGGTCCCTCGGTAGTGGAGGACGCTAGGCCAAGTAAGGTAGCATATTCCGCCAAGACCAGATTCCCCCACATGATGGAGAACGATCGAGGGCCTCGAATCAATGGGAGATGGCCAATCGGAAGCCACCAAAGTTTGCTATGAACGCCGAATGGAGATGTCTTGGCGAATAATAAAGCCTATTTTGGTCTAGCGCAGCGTCTCACTTGCCAAGGAGCACTCATCCATCGCCGGTCGTCCTGCACCACGATGAAAGTAAACCTCATGACTCAACATGGTTCACAATGAATTACTTTCGATGCTATGCTTTATAATCTCTGGGCTTTGACAACTTACAAATCTTCCTGCCGATTAGTGATGGCTTGTAATCATGATTCCCAGTTGATTGTACAACGAAATTGGGGGGGACGCAAGCGGATGGATCCTCGATCTGTCGCGGTAGACACAGAATCCTGGTGTAATTAGCTGACAACAGAAGAGTCCAACATCAAAACCACCAATTTCCTACAATCGTGAAGTTTCTAGTCAGCTCTGTGAATAGTCATTCACATAATCTACTTCTTTCGCCGTTACACGCGCCACCTACCTACCACGACAATGCTAGGCCTCAGTGGTTGGAAACCGCTCTTCTTCTATACTGCTGCCTTCCTCAACGTAGTAATCCTCCCCAAGCATCTCAAGACCGGCGAGACCAAGATCAAGGGCGCTATCAAAGCCATACCATCCGATCCCGAGTATTCCATTCCCAAGGCGATTGTCAAGACAGCTTGGGACGGTTGTAACTCCTTGCTTCTCACTTTCGGTAAAATCCAAGAAAGCCTTGTCGCGTTAGCAGAGTTAACCATTCTTAAGCCCTACTGAACCTTAAGTGGGCCAAACATGGTGCCCCTGAGCTGATGGAAGAGAAGCTGGCAGTTTGGATCAATGTGATTATTTCCCTGTACATAGGCATCCCTTACTTCCAGGTCGGCATGAAGTTGCCTCTCTTTACCCTGTGGGGTGGTCCGGTTCTCACTACGATGGCTATGCTTTTGTGATTGAGGCAAACGCTCGTTTGTTAGTCAAAACCAATGACAATAGTGCAAAGCATACTTTGTAAAAACCACCTCACTATGTCAGAAAGCGCACAGATGATAGCTACAAAACATAAGGAACGAGCGGCTTCTCGAGTATGAATGACTCCATATCCACACATGGTAATCATTGCCCTTCTGAAAGTCCATGAACGTACTGTAACCTCATTCACAAACGCGTTCAATGGAACGTGAATTGTGAATGTTATCGTAACAGTGGGAGCCCCTCCTGTCACCGCAGTTTATCATAATACGAGATCCAGAATCTCAGGGCTGATTGATGGTTACGGAATTTAGGCGGAGAACCTGCCACCGATGACATCATTTTACTGAAGGGCAAGCGACTTTAACGTTCTTGTTGTCGAACCCACGTTCCAACCCACATATGAATGGTGTCTACTCATTGCGGGGCTACCAACCATCGGATGCTTTTGGGTTGGTAATCGGCGACTTACATGGATTTGTCAAAACGATCCTTGCTGAATCATGGTTGCAAATTGCAAGTCATGGGATCTTCAGACGCGAGAAAGCGTTCTTTGAAATCTCCGAGAAGTGTCGGGGCTATTACAGCCCAAGTAAGAAACACTTCGAAACATTTCAACGAACATAATAACAGCGACAGCACCCAGCAGATTTTGCTTTCAGTAGCAGGATTCACCGATAACCCTTTCAACCCGATCTAACAACCCACTTTTCTTCAAACCTCCAGCAATGCCTTCGGTGACCGACTTCAAGCCGAAAGTGAGCATCACTCACATCGGAACTGCGACTGCTATCCTCGAGATCGATGGTGTACGCTTTTTGACCGACCCCTTCTTTTCACCAGCAGGCACCACTTGGGATGTTGGCATCACTATCCTCAAGAACACCGAAGACCCCGCTCTCAGGCTTGATCAGCTTCCTCCAATCGATGCAGTGCTCCTGAGCCACGAGGACCACCCCGACAATCTCGACGAGCTGGGCCGTAGGCTACTTGACGGCCGACACGTCTTCACCACCATGGACGGAGCCAAGAATCTCGCACCTCGCCCGGCGGTAGTTGGCATGAAGCCATGGGACACTGTTGAGAGACGCATCGGCGGGAAGGTCTTCCGCATCACAGCAACCCCGTGCCAGCACATGCCCGGCGGTGAATGCATTGGCTTTTTGGTATCCTCGGATGACTTCGGGATTGGACCGAACAACCTGCCGAACGCAATCTACTTCACCGGCGACACGGTCTTCATCGACGAATTGACCAAGATTGCCGACAGGTTCCACGTTCCCGTCGCCATGATGAATCTTGGGTTCGCTCATGTGCAGCTTCCCGACATGGACACGCCGCTGCAGATCACCATGGACGGCAAGCAGGCGGCTCATTTGTTCCGAGAGATCAAGGCGGATCACTTGGTGCCCATGCATTACGACAAGTCGTGGGGTCATTTCACTCAGTTCGAGGAAGGACTCGCTAAGGATTTCAAGGATGAAGGTGTTGACGACAAGGTTAAGTGGCTGAAACCAGGGGTTCCGGTTGAGATTATCTGACTAGCGAGGTTGAGAAGCTTAATGTACTAAAACGAGTAGCTGGGAGGTTTTGACATTTGTCATGGAGAATATTGAAGTGAAGTTATCACAGAATCTTCCATGATCATTCAGGCTCATAAGACACCGACAATCTCATGGACTCTCATTTCCCGTAGGGTTCACAAGACTCAAAAACACAGAGCATAGAAACACAAAAGTCTACTCATTAATGGGGTCAATCTAACAAATACCATCATATCCCCTAACCATGACCATATTGGTCTAACTTACGACATGAAGCTTTCAGGGCAAAGCAGACTTGTCAATTGACCGTTCTTTCGGTTCAAGACAAATGGTTCATACGAGTTTCCTGTTCGGTCTTGGCGCCGGAGTCCGTTGTCAATTCCTAATTTTCCCATGGGTATATCCTCCTTCCGCATTTTGAATAGACTATTGAACAGGGTTGATCGCCCCATAAGTCTTGAATATGCATCAGCGCTAGGTCATTAGTAGTAATGTAGGCCCCTTTGTACGGAGAAGTGATACATCGTGCAATCAACTGAGCACCAAATTAAACGATGAGCTCCTTGAAGTACCCAGATCAATCCATCATTGGAATGGTTTTCCCGTGTGAAGATGGAAAATCAAGGTTTGCATTCACTCAGATTGAGGTTGCATACATTCTGTTTCAAGGTCCAACGTCTAGACTAGAAACATAGAAGCGAAGGATATAAGGCATTTGAGTGCGTTTAAAAATGCTACTGCAGTGCTGCACAACCCAATGTGCAGCCACCACACAATTGTAGACCACCAAACAACACTAGATATTTACAAATCGCTCTAGACTGCGTTCTAGAATCATGTGTATAAAAGGCCGCACCATGTCAGGGGAGTTCCATCCCAGATCCCACCATCTCCCCTCTTCACCTTCATCCCTGCCAGGCTGCCACTTAAAACCCAAGCAACCTTGCAAAAGATCCATCCGTGCCGCATTTGCCTAATCGCAAACGGGACATCCGACCAAAAAGCTTCTGAGTCTGTTGTCAGCCGCAGTGAGCTAACCGCAAGAGAGGTGTCAATTTCAAAACCCGCAGAGACGTTGTCACAATAACGAAATTATCAACTACAAGAATTGAAACTTTGGAGACTAGGAGAATCAAATCAGGCAACGCCGCAATCCTACGACGCAGCTAACAGCTGACCACATGATGTAGAGCCACAGCGAACCTCATTGTGTAACTGATTCCATATCGAGTGTGTTTGCTCAGTCATCTCCAGCGAAGATAACTGAAGCGAGGTATCAGGTCGGCAGACTATAAATTTTGGAGCATTTCTCATCGTTTGCAATGAGAGTGTCCAGCATCGCTTAGACCGGAAAAAGTCTGTCACTGGCTGGTTTCTCTATCTTACTGGATTTCTACTTTGCCAATCACCCTCTCTTCTGTCACCAGTCGAATTCTATCTCACCATGACTACCCTCAAACAAATCCTCATCACCATTGCCGTCGCCGCGGTCAGCGTCCACGCCAGTCCGCTGTCCGCCGATTCCACCGCAACGGCCATCATCGGCGCCCCGGAGTCTGCTGTGACCGAGGCTTCGAAGCCGCTTAAAGGAAAGGAGCTTGAAGACTTCGTCCCGTATACCCCCGAGGGGGCCATCGACGTCACCAACACGACACTGGGCTTCGAGTTGGTCAAGTTCATCGACGCTCATCCCGATGCCAACGGCTTGACCAAAAGGAGCGGCCCCTGCGGCCAGGGTGATTGCCCCGATTTCAACGCTGCCTTCGACTTCTTCTCGCAGCGCTTCGTGAATGCCGTGAACGGCGGCGCCATAGTAACTTGGGGCTACTATGGCCGCTGGAACGACTGTGGCCAGTGCGGAAGGATCCAGATCAGCGGCGATGGATGCTTCGACTTCACTTCGTGCGGCCGCAAGCAGAGCATCTGCGTCGACACCGGCCACGCCAGAGCCCACCGTATCTGGCATGATGTCGGCCACAAAACATGCTACAACGCTGCTCGGGCAGATCTCGGCAACTGTGGCGTCGTTCTCACGAACTCCATAATCTGGTACCCGACCGGAGAGACTGCGTGCAATTGGTAGTTAAGCAAAACCAATGCTGTCACGACGATGGACTATTCTTACTACAGAACGGCCATCATTTCCTGATTCCCCAAAGGATGATGTAGGCAAGGGAGCGACAGCAACGGCGGGGGCTTTTCCTAGCTACTATTTGAATGATTGTGTGGTTCAATCATTAGGACTATTCGCTCGAAGGACCCTTGTGCGTTGAAGAGAAGTTGTTACTGGCAATCCAGATGGCTGTTTATAGGAAACAACCAACAAGAGTTCGAAACACCAAAATAACCTAGCTTCAGGAGTCTCAAGCAAAATCGAGTACGGTCTGCCATCTCTATTTAAATTATGTGACCGTCTAATTTTCTTATGTGTGCGCGACTAATAGTATAATTCCTGTGGACTGCATTACTCCTACAAGACAATAGTAGTGACGAGGACGATTAACACGACGGTAAAGACGGTAACGACGACGACAATAGAATCGGTAACTACAATCGTGACACTAGGGTAGAGCAAAGCTACAGGAAAAGCAGCTGCTATACTACAGAAAAAGATACGCGGTCTCTTGATTGTTATCTATCAGGATAGTTTCACTTTACTTATCGATGTTTCTGGTGTTTCTTGTTTTATGAAGTCTTGGACGAAATGGCAAAGGACGTCAAGAGGACCTCGCGAATGCGTGATAATACTATCGCAACATGGACTGAAACTGGATGCCAGACAATGCCGTTCGCAGTCGCCAGTGGAAGAAGTAAATACGACTGAGTTGAATTCGAGAAGAGCTGATGTATCGTCGCTTACCTCACCTAACTATCTTCCATAGCGGCTGTGGATCGTGGTAAAAACCGTGATTCTGCTTCTAGACCAGGCTTCGGCCCATGTCCCGGCCCCAAAGCCGGCCACTTATGTAAGATGTCATCATAATTCCCCTTTTCCTCTCAGTCGCGCCTCGGCTTCACGCCCATCTCGATCGGTCCCGCATCCACCAAGGATCTCGGCAGGTCTATCGTCAAACTTCGGATCTTTGTCCGTGCGCTCTTTCACACGTGATGGTTCCTGGCCTGATCGTGTCCTTCGCCGTCTCACCCATTGGCGCGGCTCGACTTTGGCGACCCATTGAATGGTTAGTTTCTGCTGCGCTGAACTGGGCCTGCGGGAACGCAAAATGCGCCAGTCGCTGGCGTGCATTGAGACCTTAGCACGGCTACGTCGGCACCGGACTCTTCCTCGTGACCGTGTGGCTGTTAAGCGCTCCATTGGCCAATTTGAGCGAATGCGACCGTCGGAAAATCCGCCAGATCCAAGCATGCGGCCACTTCTGAAGACAACGGCACATATGACTGAAATATCTCATCTGATTGTAGAGGTCGTTGGTTTTGAGGAGAGATCGTCGTTAACTTGAAAGATCTTCGTTTATGTGAAGCATTGACAGTTGTTCTAGGCATGATTGAGGTGCCATCTACGTGTTTATCCCATGTGTCGCCGAGACGGCAGCTAGCACATCCCCGCAAGTTCTCTGTTGTTTTCTCCAAAACAAGCATTTGTCGCATTCCGCCATTGGGCACAAATTTCTTGGCCATGATTTGGCTTTCTCCACTCACTGGGGTCGGTCCGGGGTCTGGGGTCTGGGGTACTTCGGCATTCGCAAACTACAAGTTCAAGATCAACAGTTTGGACGAGATCTACCCGCCTTTAACTGCCTTTTACGAGAGCTTTTTTTTTTTTCTCATATGCGATCAAATTGTCTTGCTCGTGAGATATAATCGCGCAGTCTTCTGGAGGAACGCCATCCTTCTATTGGACCGCTTCATCTCAAAAGACAAGGACTGCCGGCGCCGGTTCTGTTGCGATGGATTTCAACGCCAACCCCGCACCCTAAGCCAATTCGGCTATCCGCTTCATCAATAATGGTACATTGTCAAGGCGAGTCCAAGCGGACGCGTATCACCAGTGGGGAAGGTTGCATTAGTCAATCAATCCGATCTTCAATTATTGGAGGAATTCACCGTCACTGGAGGACCGCGTGCCACCCCTTGCTCTTCATTCAGGAACGAGACGTCTTCATAGAAATCATGAAAAGACGGGAAGACTTGATGAAGATTGTTGACACTTAAAAGGCCAAGCATTGCCCAGCTTCTCGGCATCGAGTCTTAGATGCTCACCAGGCGATCCAGCTCCACCGTTCTGCTTCTCATTCCCCTGCCAAGACTGATCCAAGATGCACGTCTTCTCCCGCCCAAGCCTCCTGGCCCTGGGCCTCGCTGCCACCGGCTCCCTGGTATCTGCCGGACCTTGCGATATCTACTCTTCCGGAGGCACGCCCTGCATCGCGGCTCACAGCACTACTAGAGCTCTTTACAGCGCGTACTCAGGCTCGCTGTACCAGGTCAAGCGTGGCTCTGATGGCGTCACCCTCAACATTGCGCCCCTGTCTGCTGGCGGTGTTGCCAATGCTGCCGCTCAAGACACCTTCTGTGCCAGCACTACTTGCTTGATCACCATCATCTACGATCAGTCTGGAAAGGGAAACCATCTTACTCAAGCGCCGGGAGGTGCTTTCAAGGGCCCAGAGGCGGACGGCTCCGACAACTTGGCCAGTGCCATTGGTGCACCCGTGACTCTGAACGGCCAGAAGGCCTACGGCGTTTTCATCTCTCCCGGCACGGGATACCGCAACAACAAGGCCAGCGGCACCGCTACCGGCGACGCGGCCGAGGGCATGTACGCCGTTCTTGACGGTACTCATTACAACGGCGGCTGCTGCTTTGACTACGGGAACGCTGAGACCAGCAGCACCGACACCGGCAACGGCCACATGGAGGCCATCTACTTCGGCGACAGCACCATCTGGGGCACCGGTTCCGGCAGCGGTCCGTGGATCATGGCCGATCTTGAGAACGGCCTGTTCTCCGGTGTCAGCTCGGGCAACAATGCCAATGATCCAAGCATCACCACCCGCTTCACTACCGCGGTCATCAAGGGAGGGCCCAACCTGTGGGCTATTCGCGGTGCGAACGCCGCGTCGGGCTCGCTGTCGACCTACTACAGCGGCGTTCGCCCGACGGCGTCTGGATACAACCCCATGAAGAAGGAGGGTGCCATCATTCTCGGAATTGGCGGTGACAACAGCATCAGCGCCCAGGGAACCTTCTACGAGGGTGTCATGACCTCTGGATACCCCACCGATGCCACTGAGAACTCGGTACAGGCCAACATCGTGGCGGCTAAGTACGCTACGTCTTCCCTCGTCAGCGGACAGGCCCTCACCGTTGGCTCTTCGTACTCTTTCCGCGTCACCACTTCCGGCTACACCGACAGATACATCGCCCACACCGGCGCCACCGTCAACACCCAGGTCGTCACCTCCTCCAGCGCCACAGCTCTCAAGCAACAGGCCAGCTGGACCGTCCGCACCGGTCTTGGTAACAGCGGCTGCTACTCCTTTGAGTCCAAGGATACCGCCGGCAGCTACATCCGCCACTACAACTTCGAGCTCCAGATCGCTGCCAACGACGGCACCAAGCAATTCAAGGAAGATGCTACCTTCTGCCCTCAGTCCGGCCTCAACGGCCAGGGTCTGTCCATCCGCGCCTGGGGTTACCCTACTCGCTACTTCCGCCATTACAACAACGTTGGCTATGCGGCGAGCAACGGCGGAGTTCACACCTTCGACTCTGCGACCTCATTCAACGACGACGCCAGCTTCGTTGTTGCCTCTAGCTTCGCTTAAAGAGTCTCTCTTGCGTGGGGTTAAGATAGTTTGAGGATGAGTTGTATTTAAGTTAACTGAAGAATAATGATGAATGAGAATGTATTATGTAATGTGCAAAGTGATGATCAAATAAATGTGACGAATATTGTCTAGCATTTGATTCTTTATAGCAAGAGCATCATCCAGTCTTCATATGCATATTATTATGTGTAAGAGCATATCACGAAGCCATCCCAAAAACGCCTTGTCCCGTATGCCATGCTTCCAAGAAATTCCATCCACCCGTGAGTCCTGTTCCCCATTTTCCTAGCCGGCCCAAACCAAAGTCAAGCAGAAAGTTCCACTTAGAAGGTAGAAGCATCGGCGAAGCCGACAGCCTTGACGGGCTGGAGCTTGGCCAGCTTCGTCAACTTCTCCTTGGCTGCCTCACCGAGGCTGGCACCCGATGCACCATCCTTAGGGCGAACCTCAATACCGCAAGGGTACATGTGCTCGATCTCAACATTGTCGCCAAGATCAAACAGCTCAGACTTCTCGCGGAAGCACCAGGGCTGGCCGTTCCTCATGACCAAGTCGTGCGTGTCCCGAACATCGCGAGCGTGCAGGGAGCGGTATCCGCCGTCGAGAGAGACGGCAATGCAGCTGTGCCAGGGAGTGCGAGGGAAGCCCTCAGGGTTGTGCTTCTCGACAAGGAGCGGCATGGACAGCTTGACAGCACCGCTGGAAGGGTGGATGGAGAGACGGACGTAGTCGGGGCAGGTGGCGAGGATGATCTTGGTGAAGGACTCTGCGCGCATCATCATCTTCATGGCGACCTCCTTAACGACCTTGCGGTACTTGTGGCCGGAGGTGGCGTGCGCGGCGACAGGGCTGTTGCGGAGGTCGACCTCGAGGAAGCGGATGAAGCCGCGGTAGGTCATGAGGGTGTCATTGTCGGTGTCGATCATCTTGCGGACTTCCTCGAGAGCATTGCCGAATTGGGACTCGAGTTGCTTCCGGGCCTCGTCGACCTGGGTCATGTACTGCTCCTTGGTCATAGGGCCGAGGCCGTCGGTCATGCCCAGGAAGTCCATGACACGGAGAAGCTTGATGCCCTTGTAGCCCTTCTTAGCGGCCATGTCCATCAGAGTGGACCCGTACTCCCAGGTCTCATCGTCTGAGATACCAACGACGTCTATCGAATGTTAGTATCAGTAGCGGGTTTGAGGCTAAAAATTGGGAAAGATATACCGTTGAACACAAGACCGTCGGTGGCAATGTGGACCTCGGCGCCACCTTGGTACACCTTGCCGATGTCAACGCAGAGGGCATTGAGTCTGGCAAGAGCAAGGTCTTCACCGAGATCAGGGAGAACACCAATGACCTTGTCCACACGGTTGATGCTCTTCCACGGGAAGGAAGGGATGATCATCTTGATGGGAACGTTGTCACGGATGTACTGCTCGACACGGGGAAGGAACATCTTGCGACCGATCCAGGTGTGCTCAGTCTCGCCCTCGGGAAGGATGTGTCTGCCGTAAGACTGGAAGATGTCCATGATCTTGTGGGCAATCTCAGTCTCGGAGGACGCCTCGGGGGGAGGTGTGGGGATATCAGCAGGGCTCTGGAGCCTGATCTTCTCATCATTTGCAACAATGAAGTTATCTGCAACCCAAAAGTTAGCTACTTGTGTTGATGCAACGTTGTTGGTGGCGCTGCTTACCTTGGCTTGAGGCGGCGTCGAGTGACAGTGCGGGGCCCGTTGTGATGCTAACGGCTCTCAGAGGGCTCTTGAGGTCGGATGGGTTGATTGGGGAGCCGGGGACGGCGTCGTCGGATGCCAAGTTGATGCTGAAAGCTCTGAGAGGACTCTGGATCTCGACTTCGGAAGAGTCAATTGGCGAACCGATCTCAAGGTCGGAGATCATATTAATGTTGAATGCCCTCAAGGGACTCTTGAGCTTGCTGGTGTCCACTGGTGAGAAGCCAGTGTCGAGAGTTGCTAGAACACTCTTTTGCCAGCTCAAAGGAGCTTGGACTTGTAGGAGAGGCTTAGGCTTCGGCTTGCCGCCCATGACCATCTTCTTGGGGTCGTCATGGTTGGGAGCAACGATGGGAGCGGTGACAGCCATTGTGATAGACTAAGAAAGGAAAGGATAGGAAACCAGTGGGTAGATGACTATAGAGGGACTGATAGCAGAAGCTGTATCAGAGGAAAGGAGATGCAGCGATTATTATAAGATGTATGCACTGAGTTGTAGTCGCGATTGTGATTGTGGTTGTTGTATTGTTTTTTCAGCCCCAAATCAGGCGTCTGGCGATAATCTTCTTATACTTGGAAACCAAGTTCTAGAAGGCTGAGGCCATCTCCACCTGGCTGCCAGTACGCCGAATGCATACAGCGTGTTGCACGGAGACTTTCAGACCTGAGTACTGGATCAAAACGTGGCGCCCGGACTAGCCCGGCTGGGCACCCCAGAGGCCCCCAAGCTGAAGGCTGAACACGTCGAACACGCACAGTCTGGGCCAAGAATTCCCCATCATTCCCCATTTGACCTGTGGCTGACGTTCTGCTGTGCGAGAGTGGTTGCATTCTGACTTAAGGTTCAGTCAACCTCAAAATAGGAATAGGACCGGGCGCCACGTTCAAGATCGAGGCTCAAGCTTACCTTCGTGTCGGTCAAGAACGGGCATACCGAGCGATTGTTACCGACGACAGCCGATCAAACTGGCTTGGCCGAATGGTATGGAGCCAGGTGCGCCAGAGAAACATGCCGGCTGTCGTCATTCTGTTACGAAATATTGTGCGAGCTCTCGTATTCTGTAGTTGCTATTCCCCTGCGAGAGCACTTGTATCCGCTGGCAGTTGGTCCCGGGGATATGGTACTTGGATTCCGTAAAGTTCACGCCTGAGAAACCGGCGGGCGGGGATTTTGTCCGTCAAGTGGGGACGGCATGTATCGTTGCACTTGGCAGAGCGGATGCGATCTTGTCGATCACTGCATGGCTTGTTTATACAGACAATAAAATAGTGCAGCTAAAACAGATGTAGAAGCTCTGGCCATTGGCTGAGACTTCAGTTTTGCCTCAAACGGTCAAGCAGGCTCGGTATAGAAAATATTATGACTTGCATGGTAGAAAAGTATCAGCCAAGCCAAATATGTGGCTCCCTTTGTCAGGCCTCATGGCAGGGGTTTCCATCCTTGTCAGCCATGACACTTGGGGAACTTGTCCAATCACAGTCTTCCCGCTAGATCGTATGCGATCATCAGATGCCAAGGACATCAGCAGTTTACAAGGACATTCCCGCTAGGATGATACCGCCTAGCCGTAAGCGCTTGTCGTCGCTGCAAGTAACTAGCCGTCGGCAACTAGTGCCAGGCCAGGCATGATCAGCCCAATTGCAAGACACGACATATTCTAGCGCTTCTTATGTGCATGTCTAGGCACCGGCAGGTTGTTAGGGCTGGGAGGGAGGGCAAATGCACCGAAATAATCTGTCCGACCACGATGGGAGTTTTTTGAACGCCCCGGATTATCTGTTGTGCTTGCTGAGTCTAGGCTGGCAGACGGCTTAGCATGGCTTCGCCGGCGTCTTGGTCGAGGCTGGTCATGGCTTGTGCCCAGTGCTTCTAAATCCGGTGCATATCGACTTTTGACAACTTACTCGCCGTGAACGGACCGGCAACTTTGCCATGAAGACGCGGACTCGCGATGGAGTATTTTCTTTTGTTAACACTTAGCCATGCCCCCGCTCGTTGACACCGTGAATGCTTCATCAAATTCCAGCTGTCGATTTCTGACACATCGCCTAGTCCACGCTTTCCGCGGACGTTCTGACTGAATCATTCCTATCTGCATCATCATAGCCAATTTCATTACCATGGACAACGTCGTTCGCCCACCCGCAGTCGAATACGGGGCGCAAGCCGCAGATCCAGAGCAGATGACTCTGACCGATAATCATTACACCCACAAGCAGACCAATATGCTGAGCAACCAAGAGTTCCAACCATACGAGCCCGACCAGAGGCATTCAGAAGGGCAAAAATCATCAAGTCATACCGATGAGGAAAAGTCCGAGGCCATCGTCGACGCACCTGACGGAGGTTTTGTTGGCTGGCTACAGGTCCTGTCTGCCTTCCTCCTCGTTCTCGACGGCTTCGGCTTCATTACAGCCTTTGGTGTCTTCCAAGCCTTCTACGTGGATGAGTTGCATGGGTCAACAGCGTCTGACGTCTCATGGATTGGATCCATGCAAATCTTCCTGCTGTTTCTCCTCGGTACAGTCAGCGGGAGGGCCATCGACGCCGGGTACTTTAGGACTACACTGCTGGTTGGATTCATCTTTCAAATCGGTGGCATCTTCGGCGCTTCCTGGTCTAACAAGTACTGGCAACTGCTACTCTCTCAGGGAATTGCAACGGGTATCGGCAATGGCATGCACTTCACTGCCCTTGTCTGGTTAGTCTCGCAGTACTTCACCAAGAAACGCGGCCTTGCTCTCGGCATCAGCTCCTGCGGTGCACCCATTGGAGCTGTCATTTTCACCATCATGGCACGCCAGTTGATCCCTGCAGTGGGCATCGCATGGACTCTCCGTGCTATGGGCTTTTTGGTGCTCTTCAACAGCGTCATCATCTTTCTCATCTCACGACCCAAAGAGACGAAGCGATCCTCTGGGCCGCTCCTTGAGCTGGCTGCCTTCAAGGAGCTGCCTTATCTGCTTTTCACGATTGGCATGTTCTTCACCTTGCTCGGGGCGTACTTTGCATATTACTATGTAAGCAGGCTTGATTGGATTTGCAAAATGATACGTTTTGGTGCTAACACCTCTGCAGGTCCCTCTTTTTGGCCGCAAAAGGCTTGGCCTTGATGACAGCGGTGCCTTGACGATTCTGATCATCATGTCTGCAGTTGGCATCACGGGACGACTGATCCCCCCGTATTTCGCCGACAAGTCTATCAAGCCTCTGAGGACCCTGGTCATCTCGACCCTCCTCAGCAGCCTCAACGTCTATGCATGGATCGGCGTGCACTCTACCACTGGTCTCACTGTCTGGGTCATTGCTTACGCCTTCACCGTCAACGCGGTACAGACTCTGTTCACGGCATCCATGGGCGAGGTCACATCCGACATGTCAAAACTGGGCGTCAGAATCGGCATGGTCTTCACCGTCGTCAGCTTTGCCTGCTTGGCTGGTCCACCTATCGGCGGAAGCCTCGTTACTCTCGGAAAAGGCGACTTTCTGTACGCGCAGCTGTTCGCTGGCACAACCATGCTTGTTGGTGGACTTCTGGTTGCTCTTGCGAAAATCAAGCAGGTTGGCCAAAAAGACTTCTGGAGAATCACTCATTAGTAAACTATGCTTTGCAACACGGCAGCTTGTAATTTCGTGGACGGCAGATTACTTTTGTTTTGGGTTTTGGCTTCAATGATGCATTTACACCGGGTCTAGCAGGTTTCTGGAGTTTTTGGGTATTTCTTCTGGGCATAATACGCCAACAGGTTGATATGACTTGCATTTATAAATTTACAATGATGGCATTCCGACCCAGTCTCAACGGTCCCAAGACAATAGTTCTTCGGTGATGTTCTACCGGGTATGACAGCGCTGGAAAGAACTTGGCAATCATGCAAGGTTGTAGATCATCCGTCACTTGTACACCGTCGGGTTCCTGCCTGCAACGTAGCAGAGAGCGTAAATCCTGCCGCAGCAGTGAATAGCTCATTCTTTCCGACGACGCCTTGTGATGCCTCGTGAGACTCCAGCGCATGTCTGGTATGATCATCATGCATGCCTCCAACGTTGTCAGGTCATCTGGAGCTCTTGGTGCCTTCGGGGGCTGTGATATCTGAGTCATCCTGGACTTTCCGCCCAAGACACTCGACAAGGATGTACGCTATTCTGTGGTCGTACCATTACTCTATTACGTGGGCTCAGCCCTGCACGCTGTTTTCGGGCTGCATTCGATAAGCTCGTATCTGCGGTCTCTACAGAAACTGAATGTAACGCATACTGACTTGCGTCTGGAACGCATCTATCCTGCCTTGCTTCTTTGGTAGCTGGCGCTCAATCAGTTCCGGGACATGCGTCCAAAGAGGATACCGTGGCGCTGGCTAACCCAACCAGTTTTGCAGTAGCTCCACGACGGTGCAGCCATTACCACGACGCAAACGTAAGACAAATTTAGGCTTTCTTGTTCCCAGCGCGTTTTTGGACCGCATTCTGAGGATGCGTTCCAAGACATGCAAATTGGACCCCAGAGTCGGGTCGCCCGAGCTGAGCATAGTCTTGGTCTAAACAGTTAAATCCTTCCCTTTCGCTCCCGCGCTTGGCATGCTTAGCGCCACGAACCTACCCGATGTGCTAGAACCACGTCGTGGACACCTCGAAAACTAATTCAGGCATGGAGTTAAATTGTGGCTTTGGCGAGGTGTTCTCAGCCGCAGGCACTGCTGGCATCTAGAATATTGTCGCCGACTGGTCCGGCCCGTCCGCATCGTGCATCGGGTTTTCCTCGAATAACATAAAGGTCAGACGTTCGTGTGCCTTGAGATGCCATGGAACACCGAGTCTGACCATCACCAACTGTATTCTCTACGCAATTGGTTTGTGTCCGCAAAAGAGACTTCTTTTCCCAATCGTATACCTAAGCCGGCGCAATGAAGCTGTCGGTACCAGCGGCGCTAAGGTATGTTCATGTTCTGCAGTCCTACTCGGCCCTGGGGGCCGATTTCAATCGCCGGCACGCTAACCTCCCCAGCTTCTTCGGTCTTCTTTCTGGCCTCCCACATTCCGCTCAAGCACATTCACAAGAAGTCCGCACACAGACCTCGGTATCTTACGTAGCCGCAACCGGCTTGCCTCGATGGAGAGATTACGACCCTGCCGGGGACAAGAAGGACGCCCCGTGGGGTAGCCGAACATGCAAGTCAAACCCGGAAAATGTGCCTGACACAGGCGTTGTTCGCAAATATGAGTGGACAGTGGAGAGGACCTGGGCAGCCCCTGATGGATTTGGTATGTGATATTGCGCAATCCTTCACTCGGACCGTCCCGTTGCTCACATCGTTATTATTGCATTGCAGAACAAGAACTTCTCCTTATAAACGGACAGTTTCCTGGGCCTCAGATCGAGGCGAATTGGGGTGACATCGTCGAGGTCACAGTCCACAATAACATCACTGGCCCGGAAGAGGGCACAGCTATCCACTGGCATGGGTGGGTTTTCAAGCTCAGCATCTCTTGGGAATCTCACTAACGATGGCTTAGAATCCATCAACAAGGGACCCCGTGGATGGACGGCGTCTCTGGGATCACTCAATGCCCAATCGTACCAGGTGAAAGCTTCACTTACCGCTGGAAGGCTTCCACTTATGGCTCAAGTTGGTGGCACGGCCATCACGCACTCCAGTACGCCGGAGGGCTGTGGGGTCCAATCATTATCCACGGCCCAACGTTCGACGACTACGATATTGACCTCGGCCCTGTGATGCTTTCCGACTTCTACCATCGGGACTACGAAGGCATAGCATGGGGCGCCATCTCGACAAGTACTAACGACAACGTGACCGTCCCACATTCGGCGAACCAGCTCATCAACGGCATGAACCCGTACGATTGTTCTCAGTCGCAGTATCAGTTTCCTACTATAACCAACGCCACATGCCACGACAATGCCCCTAAGCCACAGTTTATGTTCCAGACTGGCAAGACCCATAAGCTCCGCCTCATCAACACCGGTGCCCAGGCCATCCAAGTCTTCTCGATTGATAACCACAAGCTTATTGTGACGACAATGGACTGGACGCCTGTTGAGCCATATGAGGTCGACTACATCGCTCTTGGTGTAGGTGGTAGAGCTGAGGTTCTCGTCAAGGCTACCGGTGATCCCACGTCTGCGTACGCGATGCGCATGAGAACCCGGTGTGCCACCACTTACGTCTGGGAGACTATTGCAACTATTTTCTACGACCAGGCTTTGCCAAACGCTGTACCCGTTCCCGCTCCACTTGAAATTCCATATGCGCTGCCCACATCATCTTGTGGTCATGTAAGTCCTACTTGAGACCGGAATTGCGATGAACAATAAGCTGACAGAGTCTTGCAGTATGACTTACCAAAGGTGAAGCCGCTCTTCAGAAAGCGCGTCGCGAAGCCTGACATGACTGTCTTCTACAATGTGACTTACCAGACAAATGCAACTGGCAACTGGTTGTGGCTGATGAACAACGTTTCCTTCCAAGCTGACTGGAGTCGACCTCTTTTACTGGAGGCAGCCGACGGGAAAACGGACTATCTCTCCCAGCCGCAGCACATCCTTACAACTGTGCCGGATGACGTACGCCACGTTCGAGTCATTGTCCAAAACACCTTCTCCATTCACCCTATGCATATCCATGGGGGCAACTTCCAGATCCTCGCCGAGGGCGACGGCATTTGGAACGGCTCAATCATCAACAAGAAGAATCCAGCCCGCTCCGACACAGAACTACTTCGTCGAAACGGTCATCTTGTTGTTCAATTCGACACGAAGAACCCCGGTACCTGGAGCTTTCACTGTCATACGGCTTGGCATGCCAGCCCAGGTCTCATTGCCAACTTCCTGGTGAAGCCCAAGGCAGTCCAGGCGCACGATATCCCAACCGCTGTCCGAGATGGATGCGTGGCTTGGAACAAGTATCAAAGCTCCGGGGGAGAAAATGCCTTGCCATTTGACAGTGGACTCCGGAAGAAATCTTTTTCATGATCCTACATTTTTTGATGGCTAAAGCTTTGCTACGGCCGCGCGTACATTGGCAGGAGTTTGGCGTTTTGAGCGATTTCTTACGGCCCAAGAGCTGACTTTAATCGTAATCATACTTTGTTGCTAACTAAATATTATGAAAGTTGATTTTGTCACTCAATCCGCACCTCGCGCTCCGTAACATTTTGAAGCCATGTTCCAAGTTCGGCCTCGTCGGACACGCCAGTGCAACAGTTCAAGCCGTCTATACAGAGTTTGTGCCTTATAGAGAAGTCAACCGCAATACTGGTTGGTGTTCAAGGAGGCTTTTGCACTATGGTGCGTTGAGACCGGTAAAAACAATGCCTCGTGGCACATGTATGCTTCAGTGTCAAAGCGAACACTGCCATAAACAAAGTCCTGACGAACATCATGTGGCGATTCAGCGTTACAGGCGATTGGTCTCGTCTCAATACTTTCGTGGTCTACCTGTTCTTCCCCGAGGTGAGAAACCTACTTTGGTGTCAAAATTCTCAAAGCCGGAGTGCTGACCACCTTTTTCAAACAGACCAAAGGACCCAGCTTAGAGCAGATTGCTTTACTCTTCGATAGCAAGGATGCCCAGATTGTTCGAACCAACGCCATTGCAGATGAGATTCTTGATGAGAAGAAGGAAATTGCTTCGATGTTGAAGCCTTAGGGCGATGTTCATCGCTCGATCGGCAATGGCAATGTGGTCCAACGATTGAGAGCTGTGATCCCGCGTCTCCATATCATGAGCCAGACCTCGCTTCATCTATGCGTTTATACGTAAAGAATTTACTTCTCCCCCGCTGAGTGATAACCGTCAAGACGAGGTCTTCCACAAAGAAATAAGAAGTCTTGTTTAACGTAAATATGGTCTAGCAGTATCTACAGAATATGCTTTTCCCAGAATGTTCAGAAGAGAAACAGGCACCAGAAAGGACAGACAGAGAGATTCGAAAAAGGGAAATTTTAAGGAGAGTTTAGAAAAAAAAGAAACATGCTTCCCGCGTCCTCAGATCTGCCCGTAGAGCTGCATCTCGTGGATGATGGCATCCCGGTACGCAATCATGCCGCGCGTCCTCGGGTGGAACGTTTTGATCTGGCGCGTGGGAACCCACCAGTCAATGTCCTGGATGGTCATGTTGCCACCGCCGAGAGCACGATTCGTAGCATTGAACCTCGCGGCCGCCGGGCCGCTGGGGTCCTCAGCGACGGCTTCGGCCATGCGGCACTGCCACAACTTCCACGGATCGCCTCCAGACGATCCCGTCACGCCTTCGCACTCCTTGGCATCCGGCAGAGTGGCGTTGCCCGCCTGGATGAGGGCCTTCGCCTCGGCCTCGTCCTGGGCTCGGGATCGGACCGCCGCTGCGGATTCCGCATCGAAGTCCTTCCAGCCGCTGAGGAAGAACCAGGTATCCTCCCGGTTCTCGTCCGGCTCGTGGACGTCGTCGCTGGAGCACCAGCTGTGGTCGGTCCCGTCCCTCGGGTCGAACGAGTTGGCGATGTTGATGAAGCGCACCGCGGTCTCACCCCACTCCTCGTTGGCCTCGTCGACCGCCTCGCTGATGGCGATGTTCGTCCGGTAGACGAGCTCGAACATTTCGCTGCGCAGCTTCTGGGTGAGGTACACGATGCGGTTGAGGGGCCAGTCGGAGGAAGGCTTGTATCCGCCCCACCAGTAGTGGAACGAGGAGTCCTTGCAGTCCTCTGTCAATGTGTTGAAGAAGACCGGGTAGCCGGCGACGTATAGCATGATGTCGGTGCCAGCGTCATGGCCCTTCTGCAGGACCTTCGTATAAGCGGCCTTCAGCTTCGCCTTGAAGCCGTCGTCGCCCTCATCCTGGATCATGGCGAAGGCCTTCTCCTGGGCCTCCTCGCAGTTCTTGCGGTTCGTCGATCCCAGTCTAGCCGTGTTCGGGGTGATGATGCAGTACCATACCAGGTCCGAGAAGCCGAGGTCGTTACCGCCGATGGTGAGAGTGACGACGTTGGTGTCCGCGGCCGTACTCCAAGCGTCGAGCTTCTGCATCAACTCGACCGTGGTGTCGCCGGAGCAAGACTTGGGGCCCTCCCACGCGATTGAATCGTCGTTGAGCCACTTGTAGATGAGGTCGCCATAGTTGTTAGATCCGACACGGCACGCGTCGCCCGAGGTCGTCCCCGTGCCCATGCCGCTGGCGTACGAGTCGCCAAAGTGCGCGTAGCCGGCCACACGTGTTCTCGCGCTCTCGTCGTCACCGTCCCATACGACGTAGTCGGCCATGGGGCACGAGGTGATGACCTGTCTCTTCGTGCCGCCTCCGCTGGTTGGCGGGCCCGTGGTGGCGGGGTNGATGACCTGTCTCTTCGTGCCGCCTCCGCTGGTTGGCGGGCCCGTGGTGGCGGGGTAGGGGATCACCTTGTTGCAGCGCTTGCTGAAGAAGATGCCGGCGGCGACGAACGAGTACGTGTCGGCATTGTTCTCGCTGTAGTCCGCGGGGCATAAACCCTCGACAATTACGCCGTCTGAGTTGGTGGTTTGGCAGATGATCTTGTCAGGGGTGGGCAGGGTTCCTGATTTCTTGGGCTTTGCCTTGTATGAGACGCAGGACCTGTCGAAGGTTCCCTCTGCGAGGGCAGTGCAGCCGTTGTAGCCGTAGGCCACGTCGAGAGTTCTGTTCACAGTGTAACCGTCAGCAAGGTCCCACGGGAATGGTGACAGGCGTTTTGGAGAGGGGAGCTACATACCCTGATTCTTTATTCACGCCGTAAGATGTATGGGTCATCTCGTGGAGTAAGATGCCAGACTTGGCCCGCTGCGCATAGCGAAGATCCATGACATCGTTATCGCAGGCGTCCAGCGTCGTTGATGTCGAATCGCTCAGGAAACCGCCGTTGTCTTTGAAGAACTCGTCGCAAACGTTCATCACCTGCAAGTTGTCGTTCATCTGGCGAGCCCCATTTGCATCAGTAAATCAGTCCAAACTATTCGTCGTAAGGGAGTACCCACGGAAGCCCACCAGCCTTTCTTCCAGCACCCTTCTTTGGTTTCGTCGCAGGTTACCGTGACGGTAAACTCTGGCGATCTACCACTGAGGACTATAAGGTGAACATGCCCACGTCAGTACCTGCACAGACCGCCACAAGCCAACATCGGTTGACTCTCATCAGATACGGATAGTCTACTCACTGTCTGCCATGCGACGATAGCGCTCCTTGACCTTGTCACCAAAGTCGTCCTGGTCGCGAAGACTCTTGGAGAAGAAGTGGTTGTAGTAGTCGCCGAACTGCGGGTCGCTGTATGCTTCGAGGGCCATCGCATACGCCCACGACATCTCGGTGCGGATGATAGTCTTTCTCTCATCACTACACTCACCTTGGCCCGTGGCAAAGTTGACGGGCACCATGACGGGAGGGTCCGCTCGTGCAAGAAGCTGATGCGAGCCGCTGCCCTTGTTGCCGGCATCGACTGGTGATGCGTGAACGGCAACATGGGAGGCGACCAGCACAAAGAGTGCGGGAAAGAGTGACAAGAGATTCATTCTGAAGAGACTTTTCAGACACTGAACGATTGTGGGAAACTGAACGAGAGATGGGATGACCAGTTGCTGCTGGCCTCTTCCCTTGGATCTGTGACTTGGAAAGAGAATTATCTGGGCATTAAGAGAGACTTATATACGCTTCTAGATCGCAATTGGATCAGTCAATCCTTCAGAAACTCCTGTACAGTTCCCTCCTTTCCTCTCTCTCTGCCTAACTGACATCCACTTCACGAGCCTTCACGAAGCTGACATCCCGATGCCGCAGTAAACTGACGAAACGCCGTAGACCCCAACTGCAGCTAGCCATGCTATACCCAACTAGGTCAATACGCAACATTCCTCAACTCAATTCTCAACTTGCTGCACATGGCACCTCAAGAAGCTGACATCTCGACGCAGGAGTGGGCTGAGGGAGTTGCCGCAGATCCTAACAAGACCAGGAGGTATGGAAATAAGTAGGACGTAACTCAGCAATTTTTAATCTAACTTGCATAACCAAGTGAGAATAATTAGATGTTGGGGGCGTGACGGGATCCAAGGCTCTTGGCCAAGACAAGGCCAACATGGGTTGCCTGGCTTGAGAGTTGTATTCGGGCATTGGCAACTCTCTTCTCAGCCCTGTCAATCCTCACGTTGACCAAAACATCATGATATTTTGTGGCGAGACAATACCGAAAATGTTCACAACCTCCGGGCGACTACTGTGGGGGAGTAATCGTGGGGTTGTATTGGCCGAGGGCGGGCCGGGAGCCAAGGCCGCTTCTTCCAGGCATTCTTTCAGCCAGTCAGCACTAGAATATGCATCGCACGACGATCGGCAGAACAAGCTCCATCCAAACGCGGGTTGTATTGGTCGGAGCCGGGTTTCGTTCCTGAAAAAATGCGGCGCATAGCCATCCCGCCTCGCCGAAGGATTCGGGCTGTACATGCGGACGGGAGGCGCGGGGCGGCCTACGCAGGTGCCGGGTAAGTCTGGCATCAATTTGAAACAAAGGAGGAGATGGGGTGAGCGGAGGGAGCAAACGGCGCAGCGGGAGTCCAACATAAACCCTCACCCGCTCTCAGCAGCAATCTCTGGATAACACGATCTTGGACCCCCCATAATCGCACACGTCCGGTCCTTTTCCGTTGCATTACCTTCCGAACCAAGACATATCCAGCCCATCTATAATCAATATGGCAGTCCCGAACTGGCTCAGAATGTGCGTTACTTCTCCAAACCCCATGTTACTGGGCACAAGTTGGCGACCCTGACTTAGCGAACTTCGCGTTTTAGTGTATTCCTGCTCCTCACCTTCGCATCGTTCCTGCCTCAGCTCCAACGGTTGTGGTTGCGTCGTGACAGCTCAGGAGTCAGCCTCTACTACGTCCTCTTCAACCTCTTAGTGGCGACTGAGCTACTCACGATCGACCTTACCCTTTTGACGGGCGTCGAAGACAGCGATGTTTTCGTGCACCAGCCCGCATCCCGCGGCGACTGGTTGAACCTCGCCCAGTTTGCCATCGTTTGGGCTCTATGGGCGCTGATGTACGCATATCCCTCGACGCTGCACAATCATCACGTTGCTAACAAAGAACTTGGACACCACAGCCTCGTTTCATGCATTGTGTTTTATCCAAGCGATGAACCTCGCGGCGTGCCCGCCAAAGTCTCTGCCATCTACACGACCTACCTACTCATCTCTCTCGTCCCCCTCCTCATTGTCACAGCCAGCCCATCATCTAGGGAAGGCCGCAGGTGGTTTGACGCTCTGTTCCTCGGCTTCCACACCTACTTTCTGAACCCGATCATCACGATCTTTGGCATCGCTGCTCTATACGCGGAAGCACGTGCAATTCGTGCGCGCCCTGAAGGCTCAGGACTCGGTTCGCTCAGCGTTGTGGGCCTCGCGGCGCAGGCGGTTGTGTTCTTCATCGTAGGAGTTGCGTGGCCTGGTCGCTTGGTCTGGCCCTTTCCGATTTTCGGGAGGGCGTTCCTCGCCTGGATTCAGATGGTCGGGTTTGTGTTCATCGACTACATTATCTTCGTGATCGCTCAGGCGGATCTGTTGTACATTGCCATGCAGCACAATGGATGGCATGCGTGGGTTCAAGGCGCAAACGGCGAAAGGGAGCCTTTGATCTGAAGTCGCGGGGGCTGCCTGGATATCTCAATTTAGGCCAAATTGCGAGGCGCGAAAACGAATGAACATATTTATTCCTAGGCAGATAGAGAATCTGTTGGTAAAGATTTCCACAGATAATGCGGTCAAATCCCAAGATCTGACGACGTGTAACTACTCGATTATCGCGAACTTGACTGGCTTCGCGCTAGAAACTACCAGCTTCGGCCGACCTCCATTACCAGATGGCTCGGTAACATTTCCAGCTTCATAACACGGCAGCTTAACCACCGTCTCTGCATGATCCTCCATGATTCCCCAGTCCCACCAATCAACTGCGGCCTCCTCAAAAGTGCAGCGAAAGACGTCACCTGGGGCCATATCCCGAGGCAACTCCACGTCGTCTCCAGACAGGGTCTGGGTCGTTGTCCAGGTCTCCCCCGGCTGTAAGCTCGTGAAGTGCTTGTGCTGCCCAACGCGAACAGGAATATCCGGCTCGTCGACGATCATGAAACCAAAGCTGGTCTCTTCGAGCTCGCAGGATTCCCAGGTACCGCTCTCAGCACTGCTACCGCCTTTAGCATCACCTCGCCGACGGCGATAGATTTGAAATCCTCCAGGCTGTTGCTCAGACACCAGAGATAACCAATGGAATGTTACAGGCAGGTCGCCACTCCGCTCGATGCCTTCGTACTTGATCACGATCTCGACGTCGAAGTATCCACGGCCTCGCAGTGTGGGCGGGCACCGAAGGGACGCCGAGAATATTGGCGCCCCGGGACTGCTGTAACATTAGACGCCTAGCTCGTGTAAAAAGACCTTGCATAAATAATACTGGATACTCACATTCGATCAGAGGGGGCCAGCGGCGCAGTCGATTCCGCCTTGCGGCGAGCTGCTGCCTGCTGCCTCATTCGCCACCTCTGCTCCTCCGTGTTCGCCGCCACGAATCCCACCTGGGCTTCTCTGGCCGCACGTTCAGGCCAGGCTACCTCTTCTGCCACTGCCGTGAAGGCGAGGAGTGCTCCCCCGGGCATGATCAGCTGGGGCTGACCTTGACCCTTTTTGGCACGCGGTCGCGACCTGAGTCCTGATGGGAGCAGCGTCCCAGCCTTCATCTGAAGTCCTACATTGTCTTGGATGCTGCCCCAGGCCCACATACCGATCTCAGCTCCTGGAAAGACCAGCGAGTACGTCTCGCCTGCCTTCAGTACGCGATAGTATCGCTCAGGGAGATCCAGTCTGGTCGGGCTCGTCTGCTCTCCGGGCCCGAGTTCAAATAGGTCAGCTTGATGTTGTCCGGATACGATCAAGCTGTCGATAGTTTGCTCTGATAATGCTACGAGACCCGACTTGTTGTCCACGAGTACCTTTTCGAAGGTGCCGTTATCCTTGTGTCGCACGAGAATGCACCCGTTCTCGGTAAATGCGTTGGTGTACATGGACCAGTGGAAGATACAACGCCTGCCTTTGCCATCATCGTCTGCGGCGCGGTGTATGGTGCTCATGATCGGGTACGGGGTGGTGAGCGAAAGGCGCTGGCTGGCTTCAAGTTTCCAGGTTAGGCGTGGAGCGCTAGGTCTAAAATCATTGCGGTCAGCATTAGATCTGTGAATGGACGTCCGTAATTGAGAAGGGGATGTGATTACTTTCGATCCTTCTTCCCCAAGGACACAAATGAACCCACATCCAATCTTGTCGTCTGTGCCATCGCGAAAGGAGCTTGCGGCTTGAAAACATGTAGTGATTGCAAAGACTTCACCAAAAATGATGAGGTGTTAGTGCTTGACGCCAAATAGATTGGTGGTCAGAGAAGAGAGTCAGCCTGCAGCAAGCTGGTTAAATAATGGCGAGGTATTGCATAGCTTGGCACCCGTTACTGCGATACCAGGGATTATGTGCAATGATGGTACCTAGTAAGTAAATATTTTATCTCACCCCACGAAAAGGGAGACGGGTTTGATGGCTTGTTCTTCAACTTAAACAACATCGAAATCAAAAAGTATTTGACACTGTACTGCGTTCAGTTCCCTCCGTGTTATCCATGGCTGTTTCGCTAGCTAAAGCGGACCCTCCGTCCCTTAGCCTGCAGATAGGACCACGGGGTTCCTCCGCGGATACAAAAGGACCGTTCTCCCTGATTTGCTCCAACACGACTCCCCATCAACCTGCATCAGAGTGCCCTAACTGTAAGTATTTATGCGCAGCGATCTTTCTTAACGAACGTGCGTCCATCTCTCAATTCACTCGCGGTGTATTGAACCCAATTCTGATCACCACTCTTTTAACACGCATCAACAAGAAATGGGCCTAAAATAATCTCAAGAACTCAATCGCCCAAGCAATGTGAGTTTTTGTGAAGGGTGCTCGGTGATAGTCTTCGAAGATAGCGCCGATGGCTTTTCCGAAGGCATGAACTGGAACAATGAGCCAACCCTGCGACATTCTCGAGAAGGAGGCAAGATAATCATTATGAAACCTGTTCGCAGTTGGAAAGATACACTACCCGACTTGCCCAGAATGGCTGAATCTGCTACGGCTGGCTGCCGTATGTGTGGCTTCATTCGAGACGGGCTTCTCCAGCGGAACATAGGGTACAAAGGCGAAATCTTTGTTAACGGGGGATATCTATGGGGCGGACAAGGAGATGCAAATGACGTCTCTGTCACAGATCCTGGCTTGGCTTGCTGGAGATGCGAGGCATACAAGGTCGAGGGAGGGACACGGTCGACCCAGCTTGCAGTTCTGAACTTTGACATTGAGACCAGCAACAGTACGTTACTCAGCTTATCCGTTACAATCCGCTTCTAACGATTCTGTGAAAGATGACCTGCTTCAATGGCTGAGGGTGGACACGAAGTGCGCCCCAGAGCCTTTGGACCCGGACACTGTGCAATGGCTCAAGTCAGAGCTTCGGAGCTGCGATGACGAATGCGACCACGTCAAACCAGCATCGCAATTCTTACCAACCAGGCTTATTGACGTCGGTCAGAGGGAGATGGATGTCCCACGACTCATCCTCACTAAAGACGCTTTCAACTTGCGAACAATCGATGATCTGGAGTATGCAGCACTGAGCTATTGTTGGGGACCAAAAAGAGACGCTCTAAAGCAGGTAAAAACTACGAAAAGTACGATTGAAACCCACTGTCAAGGAATGCCGCTTAGCTCCTTGAGTCCTGTCGTGCGGGACACAGTCAAGGTTTGCAGGGCCCTCGGTATTCGGTACCTTTGGGTTGACGCTATTTGTATCATCCAAGGAGACAAGGAAGATTGGGACCGAGAGAGTCAGATGATGGGCCATGTGTACTATTCTTGCTCTGTGGCCATCTGTCCTGTTTCTTCGCAGTCTTGTCTCGAAGGCTATCTTGGAACACGGCCCAGAGGTCTCGACGTCGACTTCGAGTCATCGCGCCGCAAGCACATCAGGGGTTCCTACAGGCTCATTCTGTCTTCTACGGATCTTGACGAGCATGCAATGGGGGCCCCTCGTCCCGGCCCATCACTATATGTGGATCTTAAACGCTCTTCGTGGGATCATAGGGGCTGGACCTTCCAAGAGCTGGTTCTTTCACCGCGCATGATCGTGTTTGGGCCTTCTATGTGCCATTTTGTCTGTGGAACCAAGACAATCTCCGAGAACGGGCACATTGCCACAGATGCAATGCATGGTCCATTGAGATCTGTGATGAATAAGGCTCTCGGAAAGTGTGTTGCCGAGACAAACCTCTCAGCGGAGAGCGTGCGAGAAGCATACTGGCAATGGACCTCAGTGAATGAAGCCCAGAGTAGGATCTGGACATATAGAGAGGACATTTTTCCAGGGCTTTCCGGTCTTGCTCAGGGATTTGCGACGATTACAGGAGACACATATCTTGCAGGTTTGTGGAAAAATGATCTCCACCACCAGCTGGTTTGGGAGATCTCACGGCCGATAGCTGGCGACCTAGCCTCACTTGTACACAGCTTGCAGCATGCAGATCCATACATCGCTCCTTCATGGAGCTGGGCATCGAGAACAGCACGCTACGAGAATCTGCCCGACAGGCAATTCTCAACGTCTGTCGCTGCTCAAGAGGCGACATCTGCCGCTGATGAAAAAGACAAGACGTTCTTCGAAGTTGTCACGCAGCCCAGCCACGTCCGCCCCGAGTTTGCCCTGATAGACTACCGCATAGACCTTCAAGGCAGCAACACCTTCGGACCTCTTAGCGGGGCCTTTCTTCGACTGAGGGGCAAAATATGCCGGTTTCCTTCGGATGTCAAAAGGGAAGCTTTGGGGCCCAGCGGTGACTGTCGGCCGTCTTACGGGAAGTTCTCATGCGGCATTGGGACCTGCATGCTGGACTGGGGCGTCAGCGAGACGTCAGTGCAGGGACCAGAGAGCATGCAACTATTTTTGATATCCAGCTGTTGCTCGCCAACGTCGCAGTGGGGCAAAATGAAGTGGCTTGCGGACTGTGATGATGTGGACTACGACACCTGGGTACCGAGTGACGCGGAGTTAGGCGACACCTCGTTTGCCAGCAGCTATGAGAGCATCGACACGTGCAAGTACTGCGCGGATCCAATGCACAGACGGCCTGGCTGGGGTCTTGTTATTCATCCCATGGAGGAGCTCGGAAACTACGTGCGAGTTGGAGCTTTTGTCCTCTTTGCACATAAAGGGGGGATGGATCTCTTCAAAACCGAGCCAGAGGAGATAATACTCGTGTAGCGTCACTTCTGTCTTCACCTGAATGGACTCTATTGTCAAGGCAGGATTAGATTTGAGCCACATGCGAGGCAATGGTGAAGTGGAACTTGAATTTCATAACAAGTCGGCATGTCGGCAGCACCGGTCCTAGGCTCCGATGTTTGGTGCTCGGCAGCGGCCCGCAGCGGGCGGAGACTTTACTGCAGCCAAACATTTTATCCTCATAGTGCGCCCGCAGACTCTGAGGTTTCAACGGCAAAGAGAACTGAAAAAACTGCCAGGCACTTCGGCACGCGAGAGATAGTGCCGACTAAGCCCGAACGCCCCTTATCTCAATGCACTAGAGGCATCGTGACGCTACTTTTCGTTGATAGCCGTGGAAATAACGCGGAAATGAGTATTTATCGGTCCAAGAGGGCGATAAGAACTTGCCGTTCATGGGAAACCCGAGCAGATTAATAATGCCAGGGGCTCCAGTGAGGGTTACGGCAGCCTGCAGGGACGACTGGCTCAAATCAAAAATTTCTATATATACGCACTATACTATAGAATAATTAAGTGAGGGTATATACTATAGCCCTTCTATACTGCTCTGATTAGTTAGAAATTTACTAATTATAGTACTATATCCCTACCTATAAATACCTTTTATATTAAGGCCCCCCTAATTTAAAACTTCTTTTTCTTTTTTTCTCTAAGAGTTACCCTATATATAAGTATATACCCCCCTTTATAAAAGCGTTTTTTTATTTTATTTTATTTCCTATTATTATTAATATATAGATACTAATATATTTTATATAGTAGTATATATAACTACTTATAATAATTCCTATCCTCTTAATCCTAATTATAATTAATAGGATAGAGCTCTTTAAGAACGTTCTAGCTAAGATACTATATAATCCTATATATAACTATATAAGCTTAGTTATAACTAAATAGTTATTAGAGAGTATATATACTACTATTTATTTATATATATATAGATTTACTAATATATATTCTAGGTTTTAAGTATATTACTTCGCTTAAAACTAAGTAGTTAGTTATAAATATACCTAATAGTATATACCTCTATATAATCTAATATAATCTTTAGGGTTCCTATACTAATATTTATATAGCTTTAGCGTTTTATTTACTTTAGAAATTATTTATATATTAATAGCCCCTTTTTAATTTTTAATATTATTTATAACTAAGTTAGTAATAAAGTCTTTACTTTTATATATAGAGACCTTCTAGAGGGAGATAAAGTATATATTACTTATTATAAGGGAAATAGCCTATATAAAAGCTATATTACCTTTCTAAATTATAACTATTATATAAATTACTATTACGCTTTAAATAGTAAAAACTACTCTATAAAAACTTATTATAAATTCTATATACTTCTATATAGTTATAGTTAATAATATACTAATATCTATAGATATAAATAATACTAATACCCCCTAAATAACTTTAGTTAAGGCTAGAACTAAATATATAGCTCTATCTAAGCTTAAAAGTACCTATAAGTAGCTATACTAGAACTAAGAGGAGTTTAAGGATAAAGTTAATATTAAACTAAGTAATAATACTATTATATATAAGATTATAGAGATACTTAGTATTAGAAACCTCTATTTAACTACTAAAATCTTCTTTATCTTTATAAATAAGTATACTTACTTTAATATAAATATATTTACTCTTATATATAAGGGTTTATTACTAATTATTATAGAGGAGGAGGGTAAGATTAAGCTTAAGTTATAATTAGCTATATATATTTATATATATATATATATAAAGGCGTTTAAGTAGCTTTTAGTTTATATAGTATTAAAAAGGGTTAACCTAAGTTATATACTTCTAGATATAGCTTTATAGGTAGGGCTTAAGCTCTATAAGCCTATATATAGCTTTACGCCTTAATATTAGACTGAGTAGTTATTAATATAGCTTTATATTCTTATATATTATAATATAGTATTATATAAATCCTCTTAGTATTATTTATAAATATATATATCTATATATAATAGTTTAAAATACTCTAAAAGCAAATTAATTTAGATTAATTCTAGTTAGAAATCTTTATAAAGTTATAAGATAACTAGTTATATAATAAAATTATTATATATCTAATCTTAATATATTATATTTAACTCTTAAAAGTAACTTTTAAATAGTAACTTTAAAAATAGAACTTTTATTATAAATCTTATATAATCCTTACCTTAGAGTTACTTACTTATATTTAAGTGCTCTTTTTCTAATAATATCTTATTAACTTAAGTATTATTTATACTCTTTAGAGTGAGGGGTTTATAATAACTCCTACTAGCTTTATAGACTTATATTAAAAGAATAATATATATTAATACTAAAATATAGAATAACTTATAGCTATAAAGGCTTATATAATTATATTCTTCTAATTATTAATTTAAGAAGTATATATAGTGTGAAGGTATAGATAAGAATATCTCTATATATTTATATACTAATAAGGTTATCTTATTAGTTATAATATCCTCTATAAAGTATATTATAAAGTCTTTCTTAATAATATTATTACTTATTTATAAGAGATATAATATAGATAGAAAGGTTAGATAATGCTTAGTTTAAATTTTATTTAGTTACTTAATATATATAATAAATTACTTCTATATAGCTTTAAGATTTATATAGGTATTAATACCTACTCTTAATTTATTATATAGTTTTATATTAAGATCTTAATATATATATCTCATAATATAATAGCTTAATATCTTAAGGTTATTTTAAAACTTAGCTATATACCTTTAATTATTCGTTCTAATTATAGTATTAAGACTATAATTATAACTAGAACTTATTAGTTTTTATTATCTTTACGTAAGAAGATATAAAATAGGGAAGAAGTTCCTATTAAATTTTAAAACTATTAGATCTTTAGAAAAAGTATTTATAATATTAAAATTAAGAGCTAGTAGGAACACTTATATTAAGTATTATCTATCTTTTAGTAAGTATATATATTTATTACTTATATTTCTAAGGATTATATTAATATTATCTAAGAGTATTTTAGTTTATTATAAAGGTATAGCTTATTTTACTTAGGATTAATTACTAATTATATTATAATATTATTTATCTTTATACTACTTATCTACTAAGATTTTGTTAACTTTATATATATATAGAATTCTTATTATATTTATAAATAATATAATTATTCTTATATACTTAATAGCTAACTATAATATCTATTCTATTAATTAGATCTCTAAATAGTATAAGACTACTTATAACTAATTAACTTTAAGTACTTATAGATTATATAAGATACTTTAAGCTATAACTAAATTAATTTAGATACTTATTTATATCTAAGTATAGTTATACTTTATTAGGATATCTTATATATAGTACTTAATCTTCTTAATAGTAGGTATTTAAGGGATAATATAATAAAGTTTCCCTAACTTAAGTAGTATCTCTTTTTATAAGAGAAGTTATAATAATATTACCTCTATTAAAACTTATTTAAACTTATACTTCTTAATATATTAAGTAGTAGGATATAATAGCTTAAAGAGTATTTATTATTAAAAAGTATTAATATTAATAATTTAGTATTAGAAGAGATAGAGAGTAAATTTAATAAAAGGGGGGGGGATTAAAATAAAAAGGGAAGTTTGAGATATTATATCTCTATATAAAAGGGATTTTTTTCTAATTTCTAGTTTTTCTATTTATATTATTCTATTTATTTCTTTATATATTATTATACTTTTATTTAGAACTATTTTTAGTTTAATCCCTCTTTACTTTAATTATTTCTTCTAAGTAAGGTTTAATTAAAGTATTATCTTATTAATTAGAATAAGTGAAGTCTAAAAAGAACTATTTATAAAAGACTTCTTTTATAGTTATTTATAAAGGTATTCTAGTAAGTACTTTTACTAAAAGCTTTTAAGTAGTATCTATTTAGGATTAAGTAGAGATAGTTAGTTATTATTTAACTTTAATAGCTAATTTAACCTTATTCTAAAGCTTAGACTAAACTTCTTACTTTAGTTATTTCTTATCTTCTAGTATAGATTTATTTACTAACTTAATCTCTTATTACTTTACTTTAGGTGTTATTAAAGTAGATACTTTAATTTACTTATAAACTTAAACTTTTTTAGATAAAACTTAATTAAGTATTAGTAGGTTAATAGAATTAAAATAAGTAAGTAATAAAGAGTAAATATTCTTCTTAATAAGTATTATAGTATTATATAAGAATTCACTAAGAAATATAGCTATATATACTTTATTAAGGTAGTAAGTAATATATATAAGGTTTTTATTATTAATAGGAATTACTTTCTATATTTAATTAAGGTATTACTTATCTATAATAAACTACCTAAGGATTACTTAAATTATCTTCTTATATAACTAGTATTTTATTACTAGGATAAAAAATAGCTAAGTTATAAAGTATTTAAAGAGGGGAATATAAGTATATATTAAGACTTTAAACCTATACTTATTAACTTTATAATATATAACTATATATAATAATAGAAGGATATTAATTATTAAGGAGGGTATTAATACTTTCTTTATAGTTTAAATATTAGTTTTATATTTATTCTTCTTAGTTATAATATAGCTATAAAAGGTTATAATAGTCTAAATAGATATAAGGTTTATAAAGGTTAAGAAGGTAGGAGGTTTTATAGTTAGCTTTAATAAGATATAAATAAGAGGAACTTTATTAATCTAAAAAAGTTAGGAATTAGAAAAAAAGGATTTATACTAAATAACTTATATCTATAAAGTTAATTATATCTAAGATTAGAATTAATATAAGATTTATACTATATATTAAATAGAAAGATACTAGTTAAAGTTAGGCTTTAAAGTAGTATAAACTACTATTTAGGTACTTAATCTCCCCTATAATAAGGAATACTATATAAGAGGAAATATTTTAAAAATAGTATAATTAATTAGGATTTAAGTTATATAGGTTAGATAAAGTATATAATTTAGAAAAAAAGTTAGATTAATTAAGTATAAGTATATTCTTATTTATATATACATAATTATAATATAGTATTTAGTTAAGTACTAAAGAGAGTATAAGTGTAGTAACCTAAAGCGGTTAGAAATTGATTTAAGCTAGTCGTCCCTGTAGGCTGCCGTAGAGGGTCTATGGATGAGGTCACTAATCTGTTGCGCAGATTTGCATCACAATCATGACTCAACCCCAGAGCTGTCATCGTCTTTTTAAGAAACGCTCATAGGTCAACAAGTTTCATGTTGCATTGATCTAGGACCATCACTCTGACCAGAAAACGCCAACTCTCCCCAGACACGTTCATTCCAGCGGGTGATCAAAGAATCTCCGGTTACAGCGCAGACCAGCCAAGACGATGCAGTCGCTTCTCCAATACAGGCGGGCAGGGGTCGCCGCCCAGGCTCAAATTGACAGAGACATGGGCGCAGCAGCGTCTTCTTCACAACCGGCAAGTCATCAACGTTCCAAAACAGGTCAAATTTTCGACGAAAGAAAGGCTCATCCAGCGCACCCAGAAGAGAGGCCAGGCCAAGTCCTAGAGCCGACCGGCGATAGCAGCGCCGAGTCCAGCAATGACGAAGACATCGAACGCGTGGGTACGACGCGGACCCAGTATTCCGAAGGAACTGCTCTCGGTCGGGTTCTCACCGGCATCCACGTCCGAGACCGCACCGCCCACGAGGGTCATGGCGGCCGGGTCTTTGTTGTCGGATGGGCGGGACCGGATGACCCCCTCGACCCTCACAACTGGTCCTTGGCGAGACGCATCGGCGTGACGCTCCAGATCTCCGTGATTGCGCTTTTCGTCGGCGCCGCCTCCGGTATCGACGCGACCGTGCTCCCGCAAGCTGCGAAAGACTTGGGCGTCAGTGAAGTCGCCGAATCTATGGCGACAGGTAGGGAGACAACTGGTGTATCTTGACTAGAATATTGCTGACTTTTTATCTTTAGGCCTCTATTTAGTTGGCATGGGTGCAGGCTCGCTCATTGCGGGGCCGTTCTCGGAAACCTTTGGCCGCAATGCCGTTTACATCGTCTCGATGGGAGTCTTCATGTTGTGGATCATGGCGTCCGGTTTGGCGCCTAACTTTGGCGCCCAGATTGTGTTCCGATTTCTGGCCGGTTGCTCTGCGTCTACGCCGCTGGTATGCTCTGGCGGTTCAATCGCTGACATGTACAACCGCGTTGAGAAGACGTGGAGTTTCCCACTGTACGCGATCACCTGTTTCGGAGGCCCGATGATAGGTGCCGTGATGGGCGCCTACATCGGACCATCACCTCTAGTGAGCTGGCGCTGGACCGAGTGGACCATGATGATCTGCTCTGGTCTCGTTTTGGTACTTGTCGGGCTGTGTATGCCAGAGACATACGGACCGCTGTTGCTGCAGTGGAAAGCGGCACACTACCGTCGCATCACTGGGGATAACCGCTTTCGGTCCGAGCACGAGATTGTAGATGCAACACTATTCACCCGACTGAAGACGAGCATGACAAGGCCATTCCTCATGCTTACTGAGCCGATTATTATCGCCATGACGCTGCACATCACCGTCGTCTACATCGTTCTCTTCACTTTCCTGGTTGGCTGGCCGGATATCTTCGAAAAGACATACGGACTCGACCAAGGCCTCGCCAACATCATCTTCATCGCCATGTTTGTCGGTACGCAGATCAACTTCGCGTTTGTCCCACTTGTGTACCGCATGACGGTGAACAGAATGAAACAGACCGAGGACAGATCTTTCGAGCCGGAAATCCGACTGTGGTACGCCATGTTCGGGGCCGCTGTTTCTGTCCCTGTATCCCTGTTCTGGCTGGGCTGGACCAACTTCGCCAGCATTAGCATCTGGTCGGCCATCTTTGCGGTTGTACTCTTTGGGTACGGCGTGACGGGCATCTTCATGTGCGTTTATATGTACATCATTGACTCATATGAGATCTATTCGGCCTCGGCACTCACGTTCGTTGCCTTGATCAGATACATCGTGGCCGGCGGTATGACAGTCGTGGGAATTCCGTTCTACGACAAGATGGGAACGCATTACACGCTGACGATTCTGGCGTGCATCGCCGCGGCACTTGCGCCAATCCCTTATGTGTTGTATTACTACGGTCCCTGGATTCGGTCGAAGAGCAAGTATGCTGTCTCGATGAAAACCCAATAGAAGGAGCTCGAGTCCTAGGTAGACCAGTCGAAGGGAAGTTTGCAACGAAGCCTGGGAGATCCACGTTGATTTGACAGGCCCTTCAACAGACCTTATCTCATCGCGATCCGTCTTCATAGTTGTTTTGGCGATACACTTTGGAAATCTCATAATAATCTATCCCTCGCCCAACGCAATATGTAATTAGCTAGACACTGCCGCCCTTTCCCTAATACAAGGGCGTGCCGGTGATTAGACAAAACCACCACTACCACCATGTCTATTGGATATCCTTCAATGCGTCCTTGTAAATGCAATTTTGAACTCCGTTTGAATCCCTCAACGCCTTGCTAGAATATGCATCTTCCTCAGGATGACTGCTAGCCTTAAACCATTCTTTTCTCAGCCATTACTCATCATCTTCACTTCCAACCTTATCTACCCAGTTTTGTGCCTTTGATGCAAATAGTGCAATCATCAACACTAGGACACCTCCTAGAAGAGCCCCGAGACCAGCTATGATCTTTCGTCAGCTAAGGCTCTTCGTGAAACGAAACCCACAACTTACTGATAGTAAAAGCCCATCCAACCCCGATGGCATCAATCATGGGGACCAGACCACCAACAGCACCAGCTCCAAAGCTGTATTGAATGATATACTTGCCGCTGATCACAGCTGTGCGATGCTCCGGAAGAGCCTCTGCAATATTGCTTAGCAATTTTACAAGTAAGTGGCGTAGTCGAGCCATAGACTTACCGGCTGAATACGTGTTGAGACCACTGAATGACCACATGAGTCCGAGACCCTGCACGAAGGAACTGATAATCGGTAGCGGCATGCCACCAACCTCCTTTTGCACACTCCAGCCATACAAAAGCGTACCGACCGGCAAGATTACAAAGATTGCCGGCAGACTGGCCCTCAACCTATCCTGAGGCAGACGAAGTCCGTTGCGCTTGCGGATGTACCTCTTTACGGTGTGATCCGAGAGTCTTCCTCCGAGAGTACTACCCAACAAGAAACCGGCGCCTGGTGCCAGATAGAAAAGGCCACTGATCAAGGGTGACGTCAGGCCGAAACGAGGGTTGATGACGCGTCGGACGGAACTAAGAAGACCATACTGGTTGAAGCCCAGCAAGCCGCAGGTGACATTCTTTATCGACAGTTAGCGTGCGGACAAGTATGACGTAGGATAGATGGCTTACTGCTGCCAGAATGTTGGGGTATTTGAAAGCCCTCAAAACACCCATGGGGTTGAATGCATGCATCACCTCTCTGAAAGAATGAACAGGGGCCTTCTCAGGAACTTTCAGGTGCGTGAGCTCGCTTGCTCTGGGGACGAAGAAATACGCTAGGATCAGGCCGATGAAAGTCATTCCCGCCTGAACGCCATAGATGATCCTCCAACTGGCGAATGCAACAATGACGCCGCCAGTCAAAGGTGCTATAAAAGTCAGCGTTTGTGTCTTGAATTCGACGTTGTAACCTACCTATTGTGTTTGCAGCAACACAGCTTCCAAGGAAGAACCCTACAGCGGTACCTCGAGTTGTCTAATGCCGATGTTAGACCCTGTTGTTGTATTTGGTGTGCTTACTTACAGGCTCAAAGATGTCTGCCAAGATAGTCTGTCCCGCAACCAGGAAAAAGGGACCCGTTGTTCCTCCAATGACCCAAATGGCGGTAAAACAAGCCAAGTTGTTGGACAGCGCAGATCCGATCGAGCACAGAGTTAACAGAGAGTTTGCCAGCAGGTACGCGGTCCTTCGGCCCAGGATGTTACTGGTTGGGAGCCAGATCAAAGCCGACAGGGCCATGGCGATGAAAACGCCGGCGTTAGCCGTGCTGATTGCATGTGTTGAAACACCAAAGTCCGCAGCGACCTCTTTCGTCGCTGTCAAGATCGAGCTTCCCGAGAAAGTAACCGGCAAGGCCATCCAGCAGACGACGAACAATGTAACCCACTTGCGCCAAGTGGGCATTTCCATGACCACATCATCAACGGCAGCGGGCCGGACAGGCTCGGACGCGGCCGGGATGGGGCCGGAAAGCGGATGGGAACTTAATTGTGGCATCGCGACGGTAGCCATCTTGTCCGGCTTCTCGGCAGTCTGAGTAGCCATTGTCACGAGCGTAGCACCGAATGAACAAACAGTCAAAAGAAAGGGATATCCAACGATTTTACAGTCGAAACATCAGAACGGTCACATATGGCTCGGGGACCCAGCCGGGTATATACCCTGCGAAACCACTCCGCCATTCGGAGGCCCCAGCCGGCACCGAAAGAAATTCACCATTTTTTTGTCGTATCCTGTGACTCAAAGGTGTCGATAAGTGGGCCTTGCATTGCGAGTTTTTGGTAGGTCACAAGCGAGGCCGGTTCGGGGGGCGGAAAACTTGCACTGATAGCGGTGGATTTCTTTGGGCCGCAAGTCTTTTGTTCATGTTTCTAAGTCGGCAATTCATCATGAAGCCGACTTGACACAGTGAGACAGCCGGAGATATTGTGGGGATACATAATGCAGACAGGAAAGACTCGGCGAAAACTCAAATCATGCCGAGAACCGTGGGGCACTGACTAATCTTTCCCCCGGCGTAAGATTCAATTTTTGCCGATAACCTCGGGCCTGCTGACCTTTCTTCCTTCAACTGGTCTGGACTAGACGACAAAGAAAGCGACCAAGCGTAGTGCTGACAATCTATTTCCAGCGGTTCTGTCAATGTAGCGGTCACGTTCACCACACCCTCTGAGGCAGGCTTGAGTCGCTGAAATATCAACTGGCCGCCTCGGCGTTTGGCCATTTTCCCGACATACATCGGAGCCCACGAGGACACATTCCCGATTCGGTAAACTTATCGACCAACAACATGGCCTCGGAAGGGGACATGTCCAGTGCGGAGGACAGGGTCTTGTCAGTATCTGCATCGGCTTCCAAGAGTTCGAACCCGAAGTCTAGGACGAAGCCCATAGCGTGAGCCTCGCGATCTGTTTATTGTGAATGTTCTGTGTAGTAATTGACTTTGACCTGTAGCTGCTCCAGATGTCATTCACGTAAAGTGAGATGTTCAGGTGGCCACCCATGCGACAACTGCCGTCAGGCAAGTAAAGGTGCAGAATGCACTTATCCCAGACGAAATCGCATGGTCAAAGTGAGCCAACGGTATGTTGCACTGAGCTTACATTTGAATACACCTCTACTTGATCATGTCTCTTCTGACACTTCTCACTCAGATATATCGATGATCTCATATTCGAGAACCAGCGCCTGAAGGGCCAAAACGCCGGGACTCAACATGCCGACACTCATACTCAAGCTACCACCATCCTCCCTGACATCCCCGCCGTGGCAGCAAAAGAGGCCGTTGACAATGGCATTGCTGTCCCAGCCCCGTCACTTGACCAACGTCCATGGTTCTTTGATATGAACATCCCACACACACCCATTCTCATCGGCGAAGCATCAGATGCTGCATTTGCTACTCGATTTCGACAAGCAATAGCCACTGGAGATCATAGCCACATACCCAGAGTCAACTATGCTACTGATGAACGGCTGCTGGCGCTGTCTGACGTGGACTGCCCGTGGCCTAGCCCGGCAAGGGCTCGTTTCCTGGTCGGCGTTGCCTTGAGATATGTTAGCCGATGCTATCACATCATCCGCAAGAGTCTCATCTTGGACGGGCTAGAGCAGACACTTCAGAATCCATCTGAAAGTGACACTCTTTTGAAGAGTAAGCTCTGGGCATTATTCGCTATCGGCGCCATGTATTCCACACGCTCAGCGACATCCGAGCGAGACTTCCCTGGGATGGGCTACTTTGCAAGAGCCACAAGAGTGCTTCGTATCGTCAGTGAGAGGCCCCGGATTGACGTGGTTGAGCTTAGACTCTTGCTTGTAAGTGTGGCAGCATGCACCATAATGCCATGTTTTACTGGGCCTAACCAATATAGTCATTCTACTCGTTAGCACTCAATCGCCGACATACTGCATACACCTTCGCTGGCTCCGCAACAAGACTCGCCGTCGTCATGGGTTTGCATCTCAACGTCCCCGAGTCCCAGCTGCGAGACGTCGCCGCCCGGGAACATCGAAACCGGGTGTTCTGGACAGCATACATATTTGACCGAATGTGGGCATCGAAGCTGGGTCACCCCGTCTGCATCCAGGATGTCGACATCGAGGTCGATCTTCCATCTAATCCTACGGTTGACGAAAGTATCGCGGATGATTTTGCGGATGCATCATACTTCGTTGCCAGTGTTAAACTCGCGCGAGTTCTTGGTAAAATTGTGCCATTGATCTACCGCAGACGAAACCAGCAGATGTCGCTATCCCACCGGGTACAAGAAGCGTTGAATGACCTTCGTGGCTGGGTTGAGGAACTGCCACCCCAGCTCCATATCGACCACAAAGTCACATCAGAGAGAATGCAAAAGCCAATCTCCCTTCATCTAAACTTCAATCAAGTAAGTCCAAACATGTTCCAAAGAGATTTTCAATCCAACTAACAAAAAAGTGCGCCGTGAGCGTCACCCGTCCCATTCTACTTCACGTCCTTCGCACCCATGTGGCGTCGTGGGGAACATCATCAACTCCAGAGCCACAAATCCCGGGAACAGCAATGACTCTTGCCGAAGCGTGCATTCGCTGTGCCAGACACTCATGTCGTCTGTTGACTGAATGTTGGATTGACGGATCTTTTGCAACATTCGACTACTTCTATACCCAGTACCTCTTCTCGGCCTCCACCATTCTCGCCATATCAAGTCTTCTCAACGGCAAAGAAAGTCAAAACGATCGAGAACAGTTCGAAGAAGCGGCGCAATTTCTCTCCCAGCTGAGAGACAACGGCAACTTTGCTGCCGGAGAGTTCTGCCAGCATATCGATGCTATGAAAGCAATGATGGCTGCCGCTCATGCTCGCCGTGGCGGATACTCGGTGGCAGGGGACGCTTCTACACTGCTTGGCGACGCAACGGCCACTTTTGGCGATGCGATGAACATCGCACAGCCCTTCACCGCTCAGAACACCACAGCCGGCATGGCGCTTGCGGAACCTTCTTTACAAGAGTTGCTAGCACAGCCCATCCTGGATCTGCAATTCATCGACGCATCTATCTACAACGATGGTGCGCAAGGGCTGTATTGGCCGGATATAAGTCCAGAGACTTGGACGCCGGATTGGACTGCAGCTTGATTGATGATCTCATGTCATTTGGCAAGGTTGGTACGAATTGCTCCTCCTCTTCAATTAATACATGGTCCGTCTCTCATGAGCTCCCATCTTGGTCTAGCCCCAGAGGTCCTTACTGACTCCTGAAGAAATATCACCAAAATCTAAACGGCACTGCAAGCCTCCCAGCCGCGTTTGGAGCCGCAGTTGGCGACATAGCTGAACCACTTGCTTGTCCTCCACTTCCCGTCGACTGTCCCGTTTCACCGGTTGCTTCTGCTGTCGTAGTTACAGTACCCGGTTCAATTGTCGATGTGGTGGTGCCCGGCGCTGCGCTCCCACTCTGAGTGCCATCGCATGCCACTTCGCCTGAGATGAAGGTGTAGCTGGTGCTGCATCCGATTCGGCCACACGTTCCCTTGCACGGAAAACTGACGTACTCAGTGGGCACTGGCGTCGGGCATCCGCAGCCGTGAGTCAGGGTGGAAATGGTGATGCATTGAAGAACCATGCACGTCGAGCATATCTCAACCGTCTCTGTCGCAGTCGGGCATCCTGTCTGTGGTGATACAGGCGACGAAGTGATAGTACGTAAGACGGTGGTGTCAGATATGACGTCGGATGATGTTTGAGCCACGATCGGCACCGACCTAGTGATGTCAGCAGCATGCCATTAGAGATATCCTGCGCGAGATCTTACGCTGAAATTACTGTGAGAATGTGGATGGAAGCTTTCATATTGTCGTTCTTGTGTGCGAAGTCAGACGAGAGGAGAAACTCTGTCTGGGGAAGTTCTGCAGGAGTATGATATATCAACTCATGATGGCGGGTGACTATGGCGTTCTCCGCTTGAAGATCCGGAACGTCATTCGTCGACTTGGTCGGTGTAGCAATTCACCAGCCTTTTTGGGAGTAGGTGTCTTGGCTTGCAGGGGCGCAACGGCGATGGACTCGTATCGAGCTTCATAGCGCGGAGATCCATCTATTTCGACCTATCAGAGGCCCAGAGACAGATCATCAAAATGTTACACCAAGTTTCATCGCCAAAACGTTTTTGTTTATCTTCCAAGAAATCAGGTAGATCGACCATTCATTTCTTTCCAGCTCATCTTATAAAGCAGTCGAGGTCTATTTATTGCGCTCGCGATGTGATTGGCGACACAATGGGTACTCAAAGTCCGCTCGATTACGTCAAGATCAGACGTTAACCGAACAACGTCTCGATCGTTGAGAAACATCACCATGAGAAGGTAAACTCAGACAATGAGTTTCAAATACATAATTTCGTTCTTCTGAGTTACCTTTGTACTTCTCTGGTCCAGTTATCGCAATGCACCAGCCCTGGTGGCTGGTCCAAGCACCTCAAGATGACCAGACGTAACACGCCATCGGAAAGCTGCGGATAGCCACCGACCTGAAAAGAGATCCTATTTGCAAGCATCTTGTGAACGTTCCCAAATGGTAGAGAATCTCCGAATAACATGACAGAGAAATACCTATTGTAGCATCTTACCCTACAAATAACCCCTCCGTGCCTAAAGATCATCATTGTTGTCATCATTCCTGTCGGCTTTGCCGGCGTTATGATTGACCGATTCTTCCTTATCCTACCAAATAAAAGACTAAAGGTCTTGTAATCCCGCTCTTTAGCCTTCCGATGCAGTTGACTCAAGAACAGGCGGTCAGTATTCTTGGAGGAACGTTGACCTCGTGAGATCCTCACAGCATGGACAACTCTCAGCCACCAATCCCGCATCAAAGGTTTTGCTTTCCAAACATTTACCAGTCTCGGGAACCAGAGGAATATATATGCATTACACATAGAAGAACTAAGCATAAAGAAGATGAAGTAGCTTACGCTAGAGACAAACATTGATACTCAGGGTGACCTGGATATTCAGCCGAATACGAACAACATGCAGTCGATATGAGCTGGTCCAGTGACGATGGCATTTGAGTTTTCTGAGTCACACCAAAGGCGCGGGGTTTCGTTGAGATGAACTTAATGTCGGACGTCGGCAATTGGCCTGCACATGGCATTGAGCAACGCGTCTCCTCATCCAAACGAGGAACGAACGCGGGGAAGGGGGAACCGAACCCGAGGTTTTGGAAGTGGCTGCCGCCCATCAGACAGAGAAGGCAAAAGCTGACGATTTTCACCCCGGCCATCTCGTCAACATCACCAGGTCGTAAACAAAACATCAAGTCACCTCCCACATCAGGATTCAGAGGCCCCTCCGTCAGAATGGAACTTAACAAAACGTCGGAAATATGGCGACTTCTAGCCCTAGTTCCACTTTTGGCTCTACTGTATGGTACATACTCCATGTACAAAGCGCGCAGCTTCTTTCGACGCCTTCAGCGCCTCGGCTACCCAATGCCCCCTCACCACCCTATCTGGGGTCATCTTGGTGTCATTGCGAGCATCATGAAGGATCTGCCGCCCGACCTCATGCCTACAGTGGCCCTTGGTGAATACTTTCGCCGACGGTATCCTCATCTGGACCAAGCATTCTATCTCGATCAGTGGCCCTTCTCGAAGCCGATGCTTGTCCTCCTGTCCCCTGATGCAGCGCGGCAAATTAGTCAAGGTGTAGCGCTACCAAAGGACCCAGGCCAACATGAGTTTCTCACACCTTTGACCGGTGGCCATGACTTGGATACGATGGAGGGAGACGAGTGGAAATTCTGGCATAACGTCTTCAGCCCCGGCTTCCGTGTTTCGAACATCGCTGCTTTGGTGCCGAATATGGTCGAAATGGTCAGCGTCTTCTGCGAACGTCTTCGCCAGCAGGCAAGAAAGGGTGACAAACCATTTCACCTTAGCCCAATGGCACTCGATCTCACCATGGACCTCTCCAGCAAGTCGATCTGGGATCACGAGCTGCACAGTCAGACCGGATACAATGAGTTTTCCGCGGCTTTGGCCTCGCAGCTTAGCTGGCTTCACTACTATGGAACTTCGCCACTAAAGGACCTGAATCTCCTTCGTCCATTCATGCAATGGTACAACGCCCGTCGAATGGATACCTACATCGACAGAGTGTTATCCCAAAAGCCGAGGCCTGGCACGAGAGAAAAGACTGGAGCGATCTCGGTTTTGGACACGGCCAATATCCCACAAGATCCAGTACATGTCAAGGTACTCCCCAAGGTCATCCGCTCCCAAATCAAATTCATGATGCTTGCGGGATATGACACCACCGGTTCATCAATAGTCTTCATGACTCACCTTCTTTCAAAGCATCCAAATGTTCTTGCGCGGGTTCGTGCGGAACATGACGAGGTCTTGGGTCCAGATGTCTCTGCGGCGCCAAAGCTGATAGCAGGGAATCCCAAGCTGCTCAACCTTCTCCCTTACACTACGGCCGTGATCAAGGAGTCTTTGCGGTTCTACCCGCCCGGCGCAACCTCGAGGTATGGAAACCCTGACTTCCACATCGTGATAGAATCGCCAAATTCCAAAGTCAACGGCGGGGTCGGAGGAGGTACTTTAGCTCTTCCCACCGATAGGATTGTGTGCATGGCAATCCACCACGGCATCCATCACAACCCACGTTACTGGGAGAGGCCCCATGAGTTCATACCCGAGCGCTTCTTGGAAAAGACTAAAGACGACCCACTTCAGCCTCCGGCCAATGGCTGGCGCCCGTTTGAACGTGGACCACGAGCATGCATTGGGCAAGAGATGGCATTGGCTGAGATCAAGATGGTCTGCGCTATGACGGCGAGAGAGTTTGACTTCAAACCCGCCTACGACGAGATGGGGCCTCAGCCTGCGCCTAGGATTGACAATGACCATGTCTATTTAGTCAGTCGCGGAGGAGCTGCAAATCCAAGCGGATACTATCCATGTCGAATCAGGCTCGCCACCAGAGTCTGAGGAACGAACTAGCATGGATAGGATATTGAAAAGGGAACATCGTCAGGACGTTGTATTTTACAATGGCTGTCCTATTTTGGGGGAGGTCGGTGAGTTGTGCCCGTAGGCGGTAGCCTGCAAAACTCATAAACGCATAAACCCAAAGCTCGAATAATAAAAAGCCAAAAAAAAACACTTGGTACTGATACCACTAACAAGACCATTATTCTTATTCAGTGCGCTCACAGGTGGTTGAACTAAAATAAAATAGGTCTTAATCTCATTTTCCTTGGGGAGATTACAAACGCCCAGGAACTGGGAAAATAACAATTGTCTTGGAGTTGAGGAGTCTTCATGATGATTACCTTATGTACCGTATATAGGTCTGCATTATTTCGTATCCGATGGGCACGTTCGATACTCCGCCAGCTCTGCACGTCATCATCCACGGCCGAATCGTGAAACATGGATGTGTTAAATTAGTAGTCTGGCAACGTCTCGGCGCGCATCAGCTCTCCATGACATCGCGAATGGTGACGGATGTACTAGGCAAATACGGCACTCAAGTGTGACAGTATTTTATCATTGAGAGCGATCGTCTAATTCGGCCACAGGAAATCGGAATTTGACCTCAAGAAAACATCCAAGTCATCTCTAGGGATTAAGAGAGATACGGTTGATTCTGGTATCCAACTACGGCATGCGTGAAGAACATTTTCAGTTGAGGCATACAGCGAAGTGATTCAACACGCAGTAATATTGCGGAAAGGCCAAGCCCATCATGTTAATTTTGTGAGAATTGAATTGACACGTTGATCACGACTTGGATGTTCATCGCACCAATCGTTGTGTTGCGGCCGATTCCGAATTAGGACAATGCATGGACAACGCGAAGTCGGGTATGTAACCTAAATGGTGTGAATTGAGGGGCCTGCAGAATTAAACCCTGCATTATTTTGTGACTCTCAGACCACATGCATCTCTACTAGGTGGCGATTCGCAACGACGATTGGTTTGGCATGCTTGCCAAGGAAGAATCTGGGTCTAGAAACGTATCCCCCCGTTTAAGGGCGAATCGCAACATCCAATTGACATGCAGTCGAAATGCACATAGAATGCATGAAAGAGGCACATAATTTGTGATCCGTACCTAGAACCTCGAAAAGGCCTCTCTCGCATGTCAATATTGCTGCGCAGGACCGACGGTAGAAACCGGGGGCGACTACAAAAGGGAAGGTCGCCCTTGGCCAACGATGGGTACTTCACAGCCTTCGTCCCTTGCCATTGTATTCTTCGCTCTCATATTTTTCACCTCAGCGTATCACCGTCTCAATTGATTGAAATTTCGGCCGTTAGCCATTAGTGATCAATATGGCTGAGACAGTGGATCCTTCGACCAACGACGTTGCCCCTCAGACCGCGGCAGCCGCAGCGGCTTCCCCCGGAGAAGACGCTGCTGGGACGCAGGATGATGAAAATACGAATTCTATCGCGGCAGATGAAGCAGAAACTGTACATCAACGCATCCATCGCAGCATGCGATTGCGGTTAGAACTGACACCTTCACCATAGACCGATGCAGCGAGTATCCAGGAGCGATTGTACGATATTACTCTACAGAACGCAGAGCATGCGCCCAGCTCGGCAGTAGTGCGCTAATGATACTCTGGATAGATCTCGCTATACAGCCTCCCTTTCATCCAGTGTTGTCGATTATCCGATGGAATATGGCCGGCGATATCATGCGTACCGCGCAGGATGTAAGTTTGTATCAGTTTCAATAATGCGTAGTGTAACATACTAAATTGCGCATCTAACCAGCATACATCTTGCCCAACGATGAAATCGAAATTGAACGGCTGGACATGGCGCACGCTATGATGGTCAAGGCGATTGGCAGTCGACTCTTCCTTGCCCCACTTGAGAAGGAAAAGATCCATCGGATCCTCGACATAGGCACAGGCACTGGCATTTGTATCTTCATCATCCGTACCGTTCTGTTTGTTCTCAACACTGATCATGTTTTCTAGGGGCCGTGGAGATGGGGGATATCTTCGATAATGCCGAAGTCATCGGGACTGATTTGAGCGCTATTCAGTCCGAGTGGTGCGTATCACAAAAAGCGGCCATTGGTCATTGAGCATCAGCTGATAATTGTGATAGGGTACCCCCCAACGTCAAGTTCGAAATCGACGACGTCGAGAGCCCTTGGGTTCAAGATGAGAAGTTCGATTACATTTTTTGCCGCTTCATGGCTGCTTCGATTGCCGATTGGCCAAAGCTTATTGAAAACATCTACAAGTACGTCGACGAGATTGTGTCACGTCTTCTGTGATTATCTGACCAGCTTACAGTAATCTTAACCCCGGAGGCTGGGCGGAGTTCCATGAGATGGACCCTGAGATCTATTCCCAGGATGGGACGTATACGAAGGATCATGCAACTTGGCCATGGAATCAAGCCTTCCTTCAAACTATGAACAGCATAGGCCGCGACCCATGCCCAGGACCTAAAGTGGATAATTGGGTGAGAAATCAGGGATTTGAAAATGTTTTCCATGAGGTTTATAAGAATCCTCTTGGTCCTTGGCCCAAAGACCCATACTACAAGGACCTCGGAACTCTCAACTTAGCACAGATGTTAGAAGGCCTCGAGGGGTTCACTCTAAGGGTATTTTGCGGCGTTCTTGGGCGAACAAGGGAGGAAGTTCTCGTTGAAGTCGCCAAAGTACGCAAGGAGATGCAGACCCGAGCCTACCATGGCTTGTACGACATGTAAGCTCTACCCCGCCATTGGTGATCAAATCTTTGCTGATTGGTGCTTATAGTCACGTTGTATACGGGCAAAAGCCGCTCCACCCCGAGACATCCCACCTGCCTGGACAGTGAATGGGGCTCACAATGTGACTCAAACTCAAACGCGGGCCTGGTGAGTGGGGGCGAAACTATGATCAGTGCTAGGTTAGAAGTATATCTGGTTGCCTGCGAGTACCATGCGGAAATATCATTTATGTGCGATTTAATAAAAACGTTCCAAACTTATGATTACATGAGAGAATACTTTTCCACGGCTTGTAATCTTGAGCTTTAGATGCTGGGTTCTCTATGTATCAAAGTTTGAAATACTATGAATAATCAACCACGCCGTCTTACCTAACGCAGATACTAAGTCATAACAAGCAAGCTCTGGGTTTTATCATGGTAAAGTTAATGACCTTCGTTCGTTCATGAGCGTACTTAGCTACACTGGCCTACTACAAACATATAAAGCGTCTATCAACTCAACCAGTTGCCAAGTTCATCTTCCCACCCAAGGTCGACTTCAGTCCAGCCGTGCAACATTCTCTTCCCATTGATTTCCACCTAAAGCAAGTGATGGTTATTACAAATTCTATATCGATCTGCAATGCGGTGCGCCTCGTTGATGGTTGCCAAATCTTCCCGGGCCAATTCTAAAAGCTTTGTGTTCTCTATGAGGCGCGTCTTGTTCCCGCTCTTAGGAATCACAGTTGCTCCCCGTTGTACAGTCCATGACAATGAAATTACAGCAGGAAAGCTAATGTATCTCTTGGCAATATCTTTCATTAATCTGCCATGACGGATGTGCTTCTTTGCGTTCAGGCTATCGCTGCCTAGTGTCTTGTAAGACACGTTCAGTTAGTGGGTCTATTTCCTTCTTCGCATTATCATCAAGAAGGAGCTGGAAAAACAGTATATGCACACTGTATTACCCCCAAGCCATGACGTGAATACCCTTGGACTGGCAATACGGAAGGAGTTTGATGCAAGGATTCAACGCATGAAGTTCGATCTGGTTGATGGCAGGAAGTACCATCGCATGCTCAAGCACTAGCGTCTTTTTAGTGAAGTTGCAAACTCCGATGCTCGGCACTTTTCCCTTGAAAGCTGCTCCATGAGCTTCCAGGTATCGACAAAAGTAGGTGACTCGGAGTGGCAAAGGACCCTGCCATCAGACGTTGTAGCCCACGGCCAGTGCATTAAGAAGACGTCGACGTAGTCCGAACCAAGCTGAGAGAGAGAGAGAAATGTTAAATGCAGACTCGACGTCGTGATGGTGGTTACCCCAGAACTTTGTGGTAACGGTGATCTCATTGCGTGGCACCTCACTTTTGCGAATGGCGCGTCCCACAACATGCTCGACGCCGTAGAGCTGAGCCGTGTCAATCAGGCGGTAACCGTTACGCAGAGCGAAGGTATGGATTCCTCCATGGCAGCCTCATCCTTTGCTCCAACCTGGCCTGGAACTAATGAGAATTGTGGGAAACTCGCATTGCAGCCAAGTAGGGGGTAACGCGAATCGTCGTACCTTGCCATGTTCCCAGCCCGCAAGCGGGCGTGTAGTTACCTTCAGTAGGTGAACCGATTAGCAATAAGTTTGAAGGAGGTTTGGCGGAACTTATTACCGTTGTTCATCTTATACAGCTTTGTAGAATTGGCCATGATGGATGTGACTGTTGGCAGCTGCGTCGATCGTCTGTGCTCTGCCTGTTGCCATGTATATAAAATTGGCAAAGTCATATTGTAGTGACATATCTCGAGAGCTGCGATCATCTTTGAGACGTCGTTGTATGGCAATGCAGTTTCAAGAAGCCGGCGTGGTCACATAGCATAACCGTCGGAGCTGTCTACTGAGCTGCAACCGGTCTTTGCATAACCATAGCCGGCTGTAACGATACTAGACTGCCTATGTGGCGGCTCAAATGAGATCCCGTCATTTACGAAATACCAATGAATGACGTCACATGGTCGATTCATCACTCTTAAGCGCAATTTGCTCGCGTTGAACCCCGGGGGTGATTCGTCACGCTAACCCCAACTTCAAAAATACAAATTATCATAATATAGCTGAGTGTTATAACCTATAAGTAAGGATAATAGTTAGTTAACCCACCTTAGGTATTAGGTAGCTAGGATAGGATATTTATACTATAGGATTATAGGAATAGTAAGAACTTATTTAGAAATAGAAGAACTATAGTATAAGTTATATAATAATAAAATAAAACTAAATAAATAGTATAGATTACTAAATACTTAGTAAGGACTACTAAGTATTTATTAATAATTACTAAGTACTTATTAATACTTAATTAGGAATTAGTAACTAAATAAAGGAACTATTTAAGATTTATATATAGTATAACCTTAAACTTAGTTTATAGTTAGACTTCTATAGCTCTTTAGTAATTAATTTAGTATTTATCTTTATAGATACTCTTAACTTATTTTTATTATAAATTACTTATTAAACCTAAGATTAATTATTTTAATCTCTAAAAAGTTTAATTTACTATAACTATAACTTATAACTTAGACTATAACTTTAATATATTATTATAATATATTAATCCCTAGTTTCTATTAGTAAACCTTATTATTAAATAGCTAACTATAATATTTTAATTACTCTTATTTAATAAATTAATTATTAATACCTACTAATAGTAAAATAATAAGTATATTTTTATATACCTCTACTAAGTTATTTATTCTAAGAACCTCCTCCTCTTTATAGTAACTAGTTTAAAACCTAGTTAAAGAACTTAAAAGAACTTTTATAATAGTAAACTTTAATAATAAAGTAACTCTAAAAAAAGATACTTATAAATACCTTTAAACTAAAGTTAAGAAAGGAGATAATAATATTACTAAGGTTTAAATTATATATAATAAAACTATTATAGAACTTTAAGACTTTAAAGAAATAATATAATAACTAAGAAATAACTTTTAATATATTATAGACTTAGAAAATAAAGTTATTTAATTTAAAAGATAAAATAGTAATATTAATATTAAAGAACTTTAAGAAGAAATCTATACTTTATATATAGCTATAAATATTATTATAACCCCTATTAGAGGATAATAGAAGTTTAAGTTTAATATTTTAATTATTTATAATAATACTTTTAAATAACTTAAGTAATTCTTAATCTAAATTAAGAATTATTAGAACTTCTATTATAAAAACTTTATTAATTAAACTAAAAAAGTTATTTATATTACTATTTACTTATAAAGATAAACTTTTAAGTAATTTAAATTTATCTAAAAAGAGTTCTTTAAGCATAATTCAT